CTTTCCACTCACTTTCAGAAGAAAATACACATGGCTACTGAAGCAGGAGAAGCCATTTTTGTACAGATGGAAATTTGTGCCCTTGTTGAAGAAACTCCCTGAGAAAATCCCCAGTGCCCTTCTCTCGTCTCTGCCATCCAAGTGGCGACAGGACCATTCCTCAGCTGCAGTGATGGCAAACCTATGACACTTATTTCAAAGATGATACACCATGACATTTTGGCTGACACATTAACATTTACCAACACCTGACAACTAGTCTCGTGTGATTTTCAAAGGCCACATAAGAATGGAGTATGGTCTGACACAGCCTCCATACCCTCCAAAAATGAGCTTGCTTCAATTCAGATGTATTTTTTGTAATTATTTGATGTTTCTTTGTGTAATACATAGCACCACAAATGATTGTACTGCATTTTCCAGATAAATAAGTATGTAAATAATTATTTCTCTTTTGTTAGGGGGGAGATGACAGGCCAGCAGAATCAAGTTAGGCATTTTCCAAATTTTCCAAAAGATTTTCATTGCTCTATTCAGTCAGGACAAGCAATTTAAGAAGTTTCCAAAATTTTATTAAGAGTTGCAGAATCTTGATCAGATAACAAGGACCATATCAACTCACTTTCCTAGGTGAAAGGTCCCAGATATATATTGAAGGAATCTTACACAGACCATTTCATGCAAGGATTTTCAAATGGTGCAGGTCATGTACACAATTTTGAGCAAGTGGATAATCCCGCCCCCATCCACCTCCAAATTTATCTTTGCACATTCATATTATAATGGTGGCATTGCCATAGCAACCTACAATATTATATATTTATCCTATTAACTATAGAAGCTGTTTTATGACACAGTGTGCAGATCCATTCTATCTGAACTTCACTCTTGCACTATTGTGGTTCGCTGATAGCAAGTGTGGACGGCTGAGGTCTCTGAGAGCAAGATTCAGATGAGGGGCCTGTGTGTGATGCAGGGATGGGGCCAGGACTATCAGAGAGTGGAGTGCTGCCTTCAGAGCTTGTGGAGCCTGGCAGCAGTGATGCAGAGGACCCCAAGGAGCCTGTGCCCAGTGCGTGTGCATGCAGGGCTACTCAAAGAAAAGAGCAGCTGCAGCAGCATGGGTGACTCAGGAGTAAGGCTACAAGGTGATGGCCCCTCCCTTAAGGGATAAAAGCCAGTCCCCAGAGGTGGGATTCTTTGCAGGAAGCAAAGAAGTTCTTGCACTTCAAGTCCTCGTGGAAGTTCAGTCTATCCTGGTTTGTTTTCGGAGACTTTTGGCTTTGAATATTTCCTTGCACTTAATCTTGTGTACTTGGCAGCCTTGCTCAACCTTGACAGGCCTTGGTCTTATCTGGGACAATTAGTTTTAATAAGGCTTTGCTGTGAATGAACAGAATTTACAGAGATGCATTAAAAAGGTTTTGCTTTTATCTGTTTTGCATTTGTTTGATTTGAATGAGACTTGGGTCAGAACATGCACTCATGTGACCTTAGAGACCATTTGTTGTTCCATTCTGAACTTTTTCAGCTAACTTTGCGGGTCCCATCCCCAAGGAGATACACCTGATGGGACCCAGAAGAAGGGCCTTCTTCGTGGTGGTTCCCTCTCTCTCTGGAACATCATTCCACCAGAGATTAGAATGGCCCCCACTCTAACACTCTTCCAGAAGGCACTGAAGACCTGGTTCTGCCAGCAGGCCTGGGGAACCCAGAGCAGGATGGAGCCCATTAAATGGCTTGTGTGATCTGCTGTCACCATGGTGGGGGTGGAGGTGATTTTATTATGATTTTATTATTATATTAATTTATTTGATTCTCTTTATTAATTGTTTTAAATGTGGTTTTATGTTCTGTAAGCCACCTTGAGTCGCCATGGGCAAATAGGCGGCAATATAAATTTAGCAAATAAATAAATAAAACTTTGCATCCTAATAATGAAGTCTGTTTGGTTTAGACTATATGTCTTTTTTTGAACTAAATTCCTTATGAATCCCCTACATTCCTCTGGATTCATTCATCTCTTACACTCCTGAACTGCAATTGCCAACATAACTCCATTACTGGCGTCCTGACTTGTCCTGCTGTGAGCTGCAATTCGGCAACATGTAGAGGACCCCAGATTTCTCATCCCTGGGCAAGAGAAACCAGAATCCAAGATTTGCTCTTCTATGAGCATTAGTGAACAGTAGCTCAGGAGACCACCAACCTCTGGAATAATCTAGAGAGGAACGGTAAGGAGTAAATCCAGAATTGAACAACAGCAGGAGTACACAACATGGCATCTGGAAAGAAAATACTTTATTGTTTGCCATATTGTTTTGCGATTCTGCAAAGTTCCACTTAGATAGTGAGTAATGTTTGTTAAAAAGAAAGATGGGCCATGACAGCCATCTTTAAATGCCATCTAAGCATATAGTATGCCCACTATATGAACTGGCTGTGCAGAATTAATGCTGCTGCTTTAACAACGAAGGCTGAGACATGGGAGGAGGAGAAGACTGCGCTCCTGACATCCTTTGATGGTTGGGAGCTGGGGGTCTCCAGGATCAACGCAGCCAGCCACAATTGGCTATTATGCCCCTCCTGAGTGTTCCCCCACCTGTATCTAAGGGGGATCCAGTTGAGGGGCAGCGTGCTCCCTTCAAGATCAAGGCGTGCACAGGATGCTGATCACCAGACCACCGACAAGACTTGTAGGGGAGCCTGCCAGGCCCTGGAGATGATCAACCACATCCTGCAAGTTTGTGAGGTGACACAAGATGCCCGATGTGCATGGCACAACCGTGTCATACAGTACCTGGATCAATTCCTGTGATGGCAAGGCCTCTGTCTGAGTGTCGAGCCCATCATAACATCTGGCACTTCATTCATTAAACCAGATTTACTTGTGGAGGCGATGAACCAACTCTGGGTCGTGGATGTCTCCATAGTGTCTGGTTACCAAATGTGGGAGACTTGGGACATCAAGGTCTCCAAATATGGACAGCCTGACCGCATCACCAATATTCACCATTGGGCCTCTGTTTCCCCTTCTGTCTTGGTGCACCACCTCCCTGTCATCGTTTCTAACAGGGGATTGCTTTTCAAACCATCCGGCACTGGGCTACAGACTTTGGGCTTGAGCTGCAAGGACTGTATGGACATTGGTCTCCTAACCATCGCAGGCTCGCTCAAATATTACAATGTTTACATGTGTGGAACTGGGAAAGGTTGAGTCCAGATCTTGGGTGACATGTGATTAATGACACTGCCATAAGCGGTGACTCCACTAGTGTGACCATCTTTAGCAAATTTTTGCGCTCAGAGGGGTTCGCCTCTCTGATAATTATGATAAAATATAGTATGCCTACTATATGCTTTCAAAATTCCTAATGTATCCAGAGTCTAACCTATGTGCCTTTTTCCATCACATATGCAGTCCACCTGCTTCAGAGGTTTCCAGGGAAGCCCTCCAGGGATGGGGAATTAAGAGGGAAGAATCATTTGATCTCTCAGTGCTGGTAAACTAGTCTGCTCTTTATTTCTCTCACTAAACAGCTTTGTGTGAAATCCTTGATTGTTCAAAGTTGCAATGAAAGGCAGAGGAAGACAACATCTATACTCCATCTAGTGATTTGGAATGTAAGAGGAATAAATGATACAGCTTACAAAAAATTAAATGAATGAATAAAAAAAAACCCAAAGTGTATCTCTGAATTGAAAATAAACAGGAAGGATATAATAGATCCAAATGGAGGTGGTGGTGAGGAATTGATAAATGCATATACACAGGAAGTAAAAGTATAGCATTTTTCTTTAATGAAAAGGCTAAAATATATGTCAGAAACATACATTTGTATCTTCTAAATTGTCCTACATATACAAATAGCAGTTCATAGGCTGGTGAAAGTTATATGTAATGTTACAATGAATGATAATAATAGATAATGCAGATATGTCTTGGGAGAAAAATTGTTCCACATTCTGAATAAATGAATGTGTTCCATGGGGGAAATGCTTTGATAAGTAATGTGAATGGTGAATTGGGAGTGAAGAATGATATGACAGAGTACAAAAAGTTTGGCTGGGCCATTTGAGGACCACAAATTAATGGTTTGGTGAATATCTGCTTATAAAAAGATCTATTTGTTTCAAATAATGGTTTAAACCTAAGTGTCATGCCCCTGGTGGAGACTGACTCTGAGGAAGAGGAGGAACAGCCAACAGGGAGTGGAAGTGTGGCTCCAGAGGTGGTGGAGGAGGCTGGGGAAGGGCAGAGGCCAGTTGAGCAGTCAGAGGAGGAACCAGGCCCTATCCATCCTAGGGTACGCAGAGAGGAGAGGATCAGGGTACAACGTGGTCTACTCAGGAGGAGAGGGCCATGATCCTCTTCATGGGTTGCAGGTGTGGGATCTGCATAAAAGGTTGGACCTGCGTGCTAACAGACACTGGAGACAAATTAGTGTTTTATTCCTAAAGAAGGTTTATCTTGGTTGGCTTTCTTCCAATGGACTGTACCTGTACCTTCCTGATGTTGGAAATTATCTATCCTGGTCTGTCGAGGAACTTTATTCAATGCTGTTTGTTTTTGGTTTTTGCTTCATTATTGGGTCTTTGAATGTGAACTGTGTTTCTTGCCTTTGAAATGTTATTTTGAAAGTACTTTACTCCTCCACTGTGAACAATTAAACAGTGAAGCCGAGTTGATGGCATTAAAGGACTTTTATTTACGTTTTGGATTTTGTTATATTTTTGATATACTCTGGGTCATCACATTAAGTCTATTGATAAGTGCATATGAAAAAGAATGAATTAAAAATCATGACTGCTCTAATTGAGTATAGATTGTGATAACTATTGAAGGGTGCTGTAGTGAACCTGCTGCTCCAACATCACAAAGATATGTCCACCCATTTTTAAATGCCTTCAGCAGCACTATCTCCTAAGCTTTCATAACTGGATATTTTTCTTAGGATATTTTTCATGAAGTCCAACTGAAAGCTATTTTCTTGCCATTGACTATCTTCTAGAACCCTGTAAACAATTCTGCCCCAAGTTCTGCATGGCAGCCCTTCATATATTTGGAAACAATTGCTGTCTCCGTGGTTAATATTGTCTAGTTTATTCTGCTTGCTTGTTGTTGCAATGCCCCCCAGTAAAAGAGAAATGATTCTGTATGAATGTTGTAGGTGCAGCTGAATATATCTCTCAGAAATATTTTATATCATTTTAACTACACAAACTGAAAATGTGTCTTGTCAGAATTTCAGAAATGCTTCTTTTGTTAGGTATGAAAGTTATATAATAAGTATATCAGTTATATAATCTACAATGTCCAAGCCAATATCCTTATTGTGATCCACACAAAACAGACTATTTTATCTACAGATCTGATATAACAGTTCCAACAAAGTGCTTCTTCACAATTTGAAAACAGCTCAGCTTTTAAATGTAAAAAAAAAACATTATTGACATACAGAGAAAATACATTATATGTAGCAACAATTACAACATGTTAAAGAACTTTGTGTGTAAAAGGGTAGATTTAAATTTATATAATACATATAAAAACGGATACATAAAAGAACACAGGAACAATATTCTGCATTAGATTTGTAGTAGCCATTCTCAAATGTGTGTTCATTTAAAACCTAAACAATACACTTAAAATTTTGTCTTGCACAAAAAAGTTCTAACATCACAAAATTGCTAACATTTCTGTCACTTAAGTTTTATTTATGTATTTAATCATTATAAAGGGTTTCTCATCATCTAGTTGCATACAACTACATAAGCTGAAAAGGTTTTCTTTGCAGTTAAAATTAGCCCCTGATCCTGTGAGAAATGTAACAAGTGCAGTCAGTTACAACTGAATGATAATTTATCCCTGATTTCATCAAAAATTTATGGATTTACAGAGTTTTGTAGGATAACTATGCTGCATATTTTCTGTTCTGCCATCAATTTGAAAATTGCATAGATTTTTTTACATTTCTGTTATATATCAACAGAGACTCATAAACTTTAGATAGGTAACTATAAATTAACTGTAAATTTATCAAAGCCATAAATAAAACAACTGTACAACATTTAAGTAGTCCAGCTACTTAACTCTAGCCTCAAAATGGAGCCTTAACACTCAAAGCTATGACTGAAAGCAAGGCAAGATATGACATTCTGTAAGATTTCACAGTGATTCAGCTGTCCAAACTTTGCAATCACAGTCAAATATCTCATTTTTACTATTATTTTTTCTTGTTTTTTCTATTAAAAATGACAAATAACAAATACAAAATACAAAAGTATTAAATACTATCAAAATATAAATATGATGAAATTATAAATACAATCATATATAAAAGTATATTTAAAATGAAAATAATACTTAAATGTAATTTGAGTAAGGATCTCAGAATTGACTCTCCTTAGCTCTCTGGAATGTAAGAGCCAAAAAGGAAGATTTGCACATTCAGACTAGCAAGATTCTGTTACTGTATACCTATAATAAAAGTTGCATTAGCATTCACGATTTTGGCTTCCTGGTCTGAAAGGCCAATGTAGCTCAACTGAGTTCTTCTCTTTTACTGTTTCATGAATACAGTGTCATCATCATCCACTGCAAAACAATATGGAGCAATAAACTGAATCATTTATTTCATATTCACTGGCAATACTTTATCTAAACATTATTACTGATCCCAATGAGAGAATAAATCCTGGATTCTTCTTTGTTCTAAACCAAGACTAAAGCAACTCATTCTGTCAACAATGTGAGGAGGCTATTCCTAAAAATTCTGCAAGCGTCAATACAGTTATCTAAAGAAAAAATTGTATGGATAGTATACGTATGTATGTATGCAAGCATGATTATATGGACCAGGTTCTCTAGGTGCTTGCTTTCAGATGAAGTGGCAGGAGAGGTCTTTTAGCCAAGGCTAAATCACAGCCAAATGTATTAGGTACCAGATATACTGATACTATTTGAATGCTTTAAAAATTACTGGAATACATTTATGAATTATAACTCAGAAACTGAAGCTCCTTTGGCAGAATTGTTGATCCAGCTGCAATACAGTTGCTTCAAACAGCAGTTCTGAGATAATATCACCCATTCGCTGTTTTTATTGGAATAGCACAAGAGGAACTTACATTGGGTACATGGAATACTACAGGAGGTGCTGACATTGGTCATTACATTCTTTAAAGAACCTTCCTTATCAGTGAGAACCATAATCTACATATATCTTGGATTTCCCCACCCCCACCCCAAAGATTATAGAAATCTCATCCTTACCTCAGATTCTAGAAGGTAGATACCTTTGCCATCTTTACTCATATTATAAAAGGCTTCTGTAAAAGAAGGGAAATGAGGAGAGATTATGGGATATTCAGAGAGAAAAAAGGCAAGCCAGGTTTGCATCTCAAAAACCAGATCAGCTGTAGCAATGAAGGATCCTTGAGGAAAATGCCGTCTCCATGTAAGCAATTGACAGAGGCAGCATAAACTTTTTAAATGCCTCACCAGCCATAATCTATCAAGCCATGTAGGACTTCAAGGGTGAAAACTGGAACCTTCAGGTGTTCCTGGAAGCCTATTGTTAAACAATGCAACACAGTTATGGCCCTACTAAATTTACATATTTACAGTCAGACTATTGCATTTCCAAATTCCCAAGAAATTTTGTAAGAACCGTGTTTAAAGCAAAGATTATCTAAATGTGAGGTGATGAAAACCTGAGTCACAATTGGACGAGTTGCTGCTTCAGAAAAAAAATGTTTTTGAGCATCTTATCATCAACCTTTCTCCATTCCCACATCCTTAATAGGGAATCTGAACCAATTTATATACTTTAATCACTGGAGGAAAACCTTTACTTGTCCCGTGGTTGAAGTATAGCAGATTGTACATAGAAGAAACCTCAGAGGTAGCACCAAGCCCTAAAACCTGGTAGGTTAAGCCTGGGGAAGAAGGTACTTTATTTTTTACCATGTATTATGGGTTGTTGTGATATGAGATAGATGGCCATATAAATTGTGTAAATAAATCAATAAAATAAGCTATCTCCTTTCTGAAACATTGTTTCCCAATTCATTTGCTTTTCTATCACATTGTTGTTTCAGTTGTTTTGCTTGTAGCTGTTTGGTTATGTGCTTATATTACTTAAAGTCAGTTTAATACTTTTTAAATTTGTTCTATCTAATGAATTTTCCTTTTGCTTTATTGTAAGCTGCCTGATTATTGTTGTCCAAAAATAGGTTTTTGAGTTGTTGTTTCTTTAAACGGGATATAGAATTTTTTAAAAAACCCTGTCAATTCATTACCCTCTAATGATATCTGCAAATCTTTTTTTTAAATCCCTGCATCTTTCTTGCAGGGATTTAAAGTAAGCTCATTGAAACATTCATTTGCATTCTGCATAGGGCCATCTGTGAAATAAACTCTATATCCCATTTTTTTTAAAAATCCCATAAAATAAATTTAGTGAAAAGTCTACTTACCCATCATGAGTTCCACACGTAGCATAAAACAGGCAAAGTTCTCAAATGTGATTTTTAGATCAGGATTTCCATAGCGGACTGTCAATAGCTTACAAAGTTCATTGCTAAGTGAGATTCCTTTGGAAACATAACAGTACCCACAAAGATGCTTAGACTGCAATCAATCATATTTATTTATTTTAAATAAATCCCATTTAAGAAAGTAGAATTCAGTTTAGTACAGATCTTTATAGATTTATGTATTCATGTACCTTTTTAAAAAAAATTCAGTAGTTTCTAAAATAGGGACTCGTTTGTGGGAGATGTATATTTTATCATGCCATCAGAGATTAATAACTAGCAGCAAACCATATAATGGATTTAAGTATGAAGCAGGGGGGGAGACGAGCGGTCTGCCACCTCCAAGTGGTGTCCCCTGGATGCGCGAAGCCGTCAAACGCTGACCGTAACTGAGAGCAGACCCTCCGACGACAGGCCCACGCGACAGGCCGGCTGGAGTACTCAAATGCCGCATCAACATGATGGAAACGTCCACTACAAAACACACGTCCAATGCTACCGCGTTCGGGGGAACCGACGGGCGCAGGAGACCATTGGCCTGCGCCAAAAATCAACGAAATGGTCCACGCGGAAAGCACGGCCGTGTGAAAAAACGCAAGCGGGGAACAGAGGACTGCCAGACGCTCAAGGTGGCCACCTGGAACGTGGATTCGCTGACTGGACGCTCGACCGAGATCGTCAGGGCCATGCGGGACAGGAAGCTGGACATCTGCTGCCTCCAGGAAACTCGCTGGAAGGGCAACAAGGCTACGACTATAGACGGCTACAAGATCATATACACCAGCTGTAAGGAAAACCGCGGCGGTGTAGCTGTGGTTGTCAGTCCAAGCTGGCAAAGTTCCGTCGCAGAAGTTAAGCGCCTCACAGAACGACTGATGATAATTGTCGTAGCGACCGAGAGGCAGCGCCTACACATCTTGTCCGCCTATGCCCCTCAGACCGGATGTCACGAGGAGGAGAAGGATACCTTCTGGGAACTGCTCGACATCCAACTCAGGCAGATCCCACACGAAGACGACATCATCATCTCGGGCGACCTGAATGGTCATGTAGGGCGGGACAAAAACGGACACCAGTGCCACGGTGGGCACGGCACAGGCGATACGAATGAGAATGGCCAGAGGATCCTGGACTTTGCCGACTCCCATGATATGACCATCACGAATACCTGCTTCATTAGGCGAGAATCTCAACTCCTCACCTACCATAGCAGAAACGGGAGCCACCACACACAGATTGACTACATCATCGTACGACGAAGAGCCGCTAAAAACGTGCTCAACGCCAAGGCGTACCCGTACGAATCGAGCAGTCAGCACAGGCCGCTGATGGCGAAGATCAGGATCAGCAAGCCCAAGACCAGGATTGACAAAAGAAATGCAGACCAGCCACGAATCAAGTGGTGGAACCAGAAGAAGATGGCGGGACCCCTCATCAAACCGGAGCAGTTCCCGCAGATGGTCGACGGGCCACAGGAAGCGTGGTCCATGCTGAAGAGCACTGTTCACACTGCCGGCTGCCAACAGCTTGGTTGCACCAAGCCAGGACGGAGACGCATCGAACGAGATACATGGCTCTGGACACCGGAAGTACAAGATGCCGTACACCTGAAGAAACGGCTCTACAAGGCCTTTCTTCAGGACAAGACCAGCGAGAAGCTCTGCGAATACAAGGCGGCCAAAAAGGCAGCCAAGAAAGCAGTAGCGACAGCCAGAAGCTCCCACTACGATGACATCTACAAGAAGCTGAACACGCGAGAAGGCGAGAATGAGATCTACCGCCTAGCCAAAAGCAGACACAGGAAGACCCTGGACATTGACCAGTTTCATGGGATCAACGACGAAAGGGGAAATTTGATCGTCAACCCCAGAGACGCTGCGGAGAGGTGGCGGCAATACTTCGAGAAGATCTCCACCGAGGAGTTCCCACACCCACGAACCCCGCGAGGTGACCCAGTTGAAGGCCCAGTCTCAGGCATTTATGCCAGCGAGGTCGCCGACGCCATCAAGGCCATGAAAAACGGTAAGGCAACAGGACCAGACGACATCCCTGCCGACTTCTGGAAAAAGGCACTACCGGGCTCGGCATTGTGGCTGTGCGAGCTGTTCAACAACATCGTCTCCACGGGAAAAGTGCCACACGACTGGTACCGCAGCACCACTGTTCCGATCTGGAAGGGAAAGGGCAGCCCAGCGGACTGCTCCAACTACAGACCGGTCAGGTTACTGTCACACACTATGAAGATCTTTGAACGCGTCCTTGATAAGCGCATTCGGGACACCGTCGACATCAGCGTCAACCAGGCTGGATTCATCAAGAACTGCGGCACCACTGACGCCATCTTCGGTGTGCGGATGCTGATGGAGGCTCACAGAGAGAAGAAAATCCCGCTCCACACCGCCTTCCTAGACTTGGAAAAGGCCTTCGACCGAGTCCCGCACGATCTCATCTGGTACGCACTGCGAGACCACGGCGTGCCTGAGCTGCTCGTACAATGGGTCCAACTCCTATACAGATGTCACAAAAGCCGTGTAAAAGCGGCAGCTGGGATATCAGAGGAGTTTAATATTACCGTCGGCGTACACCAGGGCTCTGCTCTCTCACCACTGCTGTTCATTCTGGTGATGGACACAATTACACACGACCTGTACACGCCCGCCCCATGGACGCTGCTCTACGCCGATGATGTGTTCCTGGCCAACCTGTGCAAGGCTGAACTAGAGCACCGAGTCCAACAGTGGCACGACCGCCTCGAGCAGTTCGGGCTCCGGCTGAACCTAAAGAAGTCCGAATACCTGACCACTGACAATGAAATGACAGGCTCCATCCACGTGAACGGGCAGGAGCTACCGCGCGCCTCCACCTTCAAGTACCTGGGAACTACTCTTGGGGAAGAAGGCCTACTACAAACTGAGGTGGCAGCCAGGATCAATGCAGCGTGGGGCAAATGGAAGTCCGTCACGGGCGTCCTCTGTGACAAGAAGATGCCGATGCGCCTGAAGGCGAAAATATATAACTCTGTGGTGCGCCCCGTGGCCATATACGGCGCAGAGTGCTGGCCGACGACCAAAGAAGTCGAAAGCAGACTCCAGATAATGGAGATGCGAATGCTCCGATGGTCGGTAGGCCTCACCCTACTCGATCGCGTCAGGAACGAAGAAGTGCGTAGACGGTTCAACGTCGTGCCCATCCCCACGGTCATGAGGCAGTCCCGGCTACGATGGTTCGGCCACGTGAGCCGCGCCAAGGAAGAATCCATCATCAAATCTGTAATGAAGGTGACTGTCGGAGGAGCGAGACCGCGTGGTAGACCTAAACAACGCTGGATGGACACGATCAAGGCCGATCTAGAGATCGCGAAGGCAGACCCGACACACGTGGCAGACAGAGAGGTGTGGAAGCAGTACTCAAGGACATTAGCGGACCTCGCCCGAGCGCGAGACAAACGCTGAAGAAAAAGAAGAAGAAGAAGAAGAAGAAGAAGAAGTATGAAGCAGGGATTTGAACCCAGAGCCCCTGGTCAAATTCAATACTTAATCCATTATACATCATTGGATCTAGAGTATAATGGATTATAAGTGGTTAACATATACAGGACAAAGAAAAGGTGTCCTTTATTATATGCAAGAGATTTTATAAATTCATCATTTAGTTGCAAGTAGCATTTATCTCCTTTTTTTCCCTCACATCGCACAATAATATCTCTCTGTGAAAGAGAACGATATGAGTGTGTCCAAAATGAGTTCCTTTTGGAATACAAGAGTCATGTTCCAAACTACAGTGGTTTCAACTTATGTTGCCATGGCAATAGCCAAAATCCAAAACTGCATAGTTGTATCTGGTTGGTATATTTTCCATCTCAATACAGTGGTGAATTTCCTCCAGATGACATTGTAAGTAGTTGCTGGAGTAAAGATCCCTAATGAGTAGGTAACTTACATTGAGTGAAATAAAGGCTTTCTCCAACTTGGTATTTTCCAAATGAATTTATTTATTTATTACTTATTTATTCATTAAATATATTTCGATGCTGCCCCAATCAAAAAGACACTCAGCAGCTTACGCACATAAAGAAATCACAGAATATCCAAGTGTGAAGATAAAAACACTGTAAAGCCATACAGAGCCCAACTTCCCAACCAACCTTGCCTGAAAAAAGCTGGAAGGCACTGATCTGAGGGAGACTATTTTGGTGCACCCTGTGGCTCAGCTGATTATCTGTTCCAGTTCAGGCAAGCTGAGAAGTATTGATATGTTTGTGAACTGCATTGATTTTAATCAGAGGGCTTTTAGTACAGCCATAGTTCTATGACTATAGAAAGCTGGAATTGAAACTTCCCTGCTACATCACACTGGCCTTATCATGAGTGGCAACAGCAATTAGAATGATTAATCCCAACTCCAGAATATGGAAATAATATTTAACTTCCTTTAATATTACACAGAACTATGTATCTTAACAATTATGAAATTATAGCCATCATTTCTTCTGCCATTTATGAAACTATGAAAATACAGGGCTGAAGTCCCAAAAATGTAAACATCTTTTACAGGAGAAGCATTGGAATCTGTTGCCCATTAATAATGACTTGTTTAATTTAATCAGTCAAAGTGCATTAATTTGATATGTCATATCTGGTATTTTAATTGCATTATGTTTTCATTTATGATTGGTTCATTGCTGTCATACATGAATGCAAGTGAAATGTGATAAACTTTAATTTTATGTTGGTTTGTACATAATCTTAGCTGTAGCTTCTATACTTTATATTTGTTAATGACAAACTAAATAAAGATAATTAAGCTAAAATTTCAGATTCATTAAATACCTTACTAATCTCATTTAACAGTATTCCATATTGTCACCTTACAATAATTTACCTTGCAACTATTTTAATCAAATTCATTTTTAAAACATTTTACAAGGTAAAATTAATTTTTGGTTCATTTCAATGCAACAATAAAAGTCAGCAGGATCATTCAACTCTATATAATAGAAAATAATGAAGTTTTTAAATGGCTATTATCTGTTATGTGAAGACATTACTACCAGTTGATCTGGTTTTATATGAAATGTATAATAATGCAGGTGTGTGGCCAAGCTAGAATGATTTTGTTTCATGTATTTGATGTTCCTTAGTAAAAACTCGAGATGGCATAAATAAGGAAGGTTTCATTTTGATATTACTATGAACTGAGTGCTCCTTAGAAGCAACACTCTGACTGAGGTAGGTCTTTCCTTCAAAGTGAGGGTTTGAAATATCCACAGCCCAGATACTAAAAGTGAATTCTGGATGTGTTGCACTTGTCCAGAGACAGATAAAGTTGATTAATTTCAGTCTGATGCACTGAGTGTCAAGGTTAGAATCTTGAGATGATTCAGGATTTCTCCACAGAGATGATCCTTAAAACTTCCTAAACTGTGAGATTGGGATAAAAGACAGTAATTTTATTTAGTTTAGGAAAATTTTATTGCTGCCTATTCGCACATGGCGACTCAAGGCGGCTTGACCCAAAATCATCCACTGAGGTTCATGGCTGGATGGAAACTCCAATGTAGGATGTTTCAGTTCTACTTCAATGTTCATAAATACTGTGTCACATACAGCATTCTGGATAAGGGCCAGGATGTAAGCGAATGCAATGTCATTATAGTCATATATGGTGCCACTACAGGCCATTTTTAAAGAGCTAGGAGTCATACTGTATTAATTTATTGCTTTGGCCTCCCAACACTGGAGGGGATATGGCTGATAACATGACAGTACAAAAGAAGTTTCAATCTGCTTTTTAGGAATTTTATCTATTTATTTGGACTTAGCCCAAAAAGAAAAGAAAACTGAGTTAACATTGATCACATAAATCATACTAAGAATAGATTAAAAAGAGAACGGAGATGTTGTGTATATATAGGAAAGTATCTGAGTGTGTGTGTGTGTGTGTGAGAGAGAGAGGGGGGGAGGGAGGGAGGGAGGGAGGGAGAGAGTGCTTGTGCATTACAGGATTGTAAAAAGGGAGTGTGTGTGTGTGTGTTGTAAATCAGTCAGAGTAGATTAGCAGTGTTGGTGATGATTATATTGAACTGGTCTCTCAACAACAAAAAATGTGTTACATGGAGGTTAATCAAGAATCTGCTGATGAGAGGTTAATTCTAGGTGCCAGGTATGATACAAGGAGCAGCAAAGAAAAACATGCATCCAGGGGTGGGCTTCAAAAATTTTAGCAAAGTGTTCTCTGCCCGGTTGCTGGATAAGTGTGGCCTAGTCAGGCTCCTACACCATGTTGGGTGGGGCATTTTTGCCCTCCCTAGGCTCCGGAGACTTTCCTCAGGCCTCTGGGAGGGCAAAAATGGCCCCCCTGGGCTCCAGAGGCTCTCTGGAAGCTGGAAATGGGCTGATTTCTGGACTTCCTGAATTTCTGGGAGGCCCGTTTTTTGCCCTCCCTGAGACTGTGCATGTGCCCTGCACTTACCTGCATCCAAAACGGGCCACCCTGGGAGGGGTGGGGTGGGGTGTGTGGGGCCAGCCAGGAGTGGGATTTGGGGGTTCTCTGAACTGCACTGAACCTTTGCTAGGGGCTCTCTCGAACCCCTGCAAACCCCCAGCAGCCCACCCCTGCATGCATTCCAAAACACAAAAGGCATTCTTGAAAAAGGATGATTGAGCAGATTAAATAGAAAACAGTACCTTAAGCTTCATAGACTTCTAAAGCAAATATATATACATTGCTTCCAATTTTTCTGGGGGATGAAGAATGGAAATCTGGTCCACACTTTTCAGAGATGGGGTGGATGTAAGGGACAAAGTTCTTTCTGAGGGCATTGTCCCTCAGCTCTGTCACCTGAGAGCTTTTAAAAATACTAATTCCAAGACTGAAGCCAGGGTTTTTGCTTTCAAAGCTTATGTGAGTGAGTTACAGTCACTATCATTTATACCATTCATTTATTTGTAAGGTTTGGCAGCTATAGGATATCTTTGTGGAAAAACTGAAGGGCTCAGGAGTTTGCTACTTTATATCTGACTAGGGGATCAAAGATAAATCATGACATCTAGATACGAAACCATCTAATTTTTGTTTACCTGTTTCTTGTATAGCAACATGCAATTCTGACTGATCCAAGGTTCCTAACTGATGGGTGTCTTTTCTCTGGAAAACTTCCTGCCATAAGAATTTCAAGAGAAAGAGAGAAATTAATAACATGAAATCATGCCAGTTTCAGTGCTGGTGAAGCCTTCCGTTAATGTCTTCCTTTTCTTCAGTGACCCAAGAGATCCAGCTTTAGCTAAAGAGAGGCTGAGAAATAGCAGAACTCTTGGAGAGGTTGCTTATGAAATGTAAGACAGAAATGTTTCATCGGATGGAAAATTTAAAGAAAAACTAAAATGCTTCTTCTGCTAAGGATCTCTGTGCTTTCTAAAACACCAGTTCTATGCAAAACGTGGGTAGGTTTGTTGAACTTTTTCTTCCACAATGGAGGGAAACTTTCAGACGTTCCTAAAACGGGGATAAAATTCACAGGGGAGTAGAAATTGGAATATAAGTGTGCTAAATCTCTACAACTGGCAATAATTAAAGAATGGTATTTTGGCCTATATTTTCCCCATTTTCCTTAAATTAAGCAGATGGGTGATCATTGGCTAAGTTAGGTACAACATAATGCACACCTGCATGTACAATTTGTACTGGTTACATATGGTGGCTTTTCTTGCCAGAGAATTTGAATTGCCTTAACTATAAGGGAAATTGCCAGTTTTTTGTCTTCATTTGTTATGAATTAACAATGTTGCTTGTATTTTGACATATGGTGGGTGAAACTGTTTAACAAAATGTTTCAGGAAAACCTAAGCCTGATCTTGGTGGCTACCAATGACTCCTTTTTTCTTCAGTTTCAAAAAAGAAACATTTAAAATGTTTTATCTTGGAAGCAGCTGTTCCTTTCTCAAACAGCTGTTATCACTTTTTTAAAAGTTTACTGAGACATTGATACCAGAAACCCAGCAGATGCATGTTAGATTGTTTTATTAGAAAAACAAGTCTTCTGTGAACTCCAAAAACAAAATAAAAAAAGATACATATCAGCAATAGTTGAATCCCAGATTCTGCACAGATTCCTGGAAATACTTTCCCACGATCACACACATTTATAGCCTAGAGACTCCAGTTAATCATAAAGCTCAATGGTGAGGTCAGAAAGTCTTGGAATGTTTATAAGAAGAATGGAATATATATTGCTCATGGTTTTTGTCACCCTCAATTAAATGCTATTATATCAGTCAAACTATGAGATTGCTACAGGAGCCCTGGTGGCACAGTGGTTAAAGTGTAGTATCGCATGTGAACTCTGCCCACAGCCTGGTGTTCCTGCTGGGTCTCAAGGTTGACTTAACCCTCTATCCTCCCATGGTCAGTAAAATGATGACCCAGATTGCTGGAGGCAATATGTAAATACATTATAAACTGCCCATAAAGTGATGTAAAGTGCAATGAGGTGGCATATAAGTCTAAATACTCTAGCTATTGAAGTTTAGCAGCCTTGGAATGACAGTAGTATCTGCCCCGGTATGAAGCTGTTTTTCTCCTTGCTATCTACATTGGAGCTGACAGGGTATAGAAGCAATTGTGCATAGTGATTCACTCTCAGCTCCATCACTGATACTGTCTAAAGCAAAAATGGGGAAACCGTAAGGGTTCCTTTCTCCACTCTTCTGTGATCTATTAGTGAGTAACTGTTCTCTCTCTCCCTCTCTGTCTCTCTTTCTCTCTCTCACACACACACACAAACACACAGAGAGAGACACACACACCACATTGTTGTTTACCTGGTAAAGAAGCAGCTTCTTCCACAGAAATCTGAATTCTTGAATGCTCAAGGTTCCAGTACTGTTAAGCTGAATTATGCTGTTAAGACATACAGTATGACAGACAAGGTTGGGGCTAGGAACAGGTAGGAAAGCTGGAAGCCAAGTTAGTGTGGCAAAAAGGAGAATAGGAATTTATTTCAGTAATTTATTTCAGCCTTGCATCTAGCATACTCAAAATCAAAACTAGGTCTTGATTTTGAAGGTCTTTGAATTATGCCCTAGGGGATATTGTACCAATTCCTAAAATAATCTCTTCACCATTAATTTCCAAGATTGCAAAACCAGACGTCAGGCTGAGTAGACACAGGAGGAAAAATAGCCCCCTGTTAGCTCAGATGAATAATTTATAAGGCTGGACTGTTGATATAGAAGCATCTAAATCCTGCAGTCCTTCCTAAAGCTTAAGCCAAGTACTCTGCCCTGTTTTACATGCAAAGAGATTCATATCATTGGAAGATGCTTCTTCCTTCCTTTCTTTTTCACTGTCCTGATATTATTATGCAGCCCACAGTTCAGCCATGACTTGAACTGTTTGCAAGGATCTCAGTCTTCAGTGTAATACTTAAGGGAAGGAAATGTGAATATGAAACAGAAAGATAACTGAGAGTAACACAAAACAGTGGTGAGAGTCAGGGACAACGTGTGGGAAAATGTACACTCATAATAGGGGTACATGAAAGTATGTGTTCCTCTCTCCTTTTTTATCCTTTGAGTTCAGAAGAACTATAAACATATGAGTAGATATTAAGTAATTGTTACAGAAAAGGGAAAGAATTGCATTCTTCAATCAGTCAAGATAGCAAAATATGTGACACAACTAAGAACCAAACACAGGATACATCTAAGAGGGCCAAGATACCACGGCAGGCATCCAGGCTAAATCTCATCCCATAATTTTGATGATCTAGAAGGAAAAAAGAAAGGAATGAAAATGTATAATCATAACACAACCATATTCTCCATAGAAGAGTAGGGACCTGAGCCAATGTATCTTCAACGTGAACATAAAAAATGAATGAGCTGCTGCAAAATGCTAATCCAGGTTATTTAACCCTGATGTATAAATCACCACAATTTCCCAAGTTCACACAAAAAACTAAATGGCAAACTATCCTGTTCTTCACACTAGTACAGCAGTTACTTCTGAGAGGTTCCTCAAATAAAGAAAGGAATACAGAGACTCACTCACACACACACATATACAAACATATATTGTAAGGAAATTTTAATAATTTAAGAAAAACTAACAAAGTAAGAAAAAGAAGGCAAACAAAACAAAAAGAAAGAAATCAAAGCTTTAACTGCAAGAAAGGGGGAAACTAAGAGAAAAGTAGACGAGAAAGAAAAAAGACACAAAAAAGAAGCTTCTAATCTTTATATCATTTGTAAGTATATTTATAAATTTAGCTTTACATATACAAACATATATTTATAAGTAATTTTTAATAATTTAAGAAAAACTAACTAAAAAATAAGAAAAAGAAGGCAAACAAAACAAAAAGAAAACTTTATGCTTTCACATAACTCTCTTCTTTCTGTAATCTCTCCTGTCTTATCATCAAAACCACAGATCATAAGCTTATCTTTTTTCTGGTTCATGCAAAAAGTCCTTAAGGGGTTTCCAGTCAGCAAAAAATGTACTTATTGTCTTTCATCTAATCAAAGAAGTCAATTTAGCCATCTAAACTCCATTATCAGCAATCATTCCTCCACTGTGGGTCATACCAAATCTTTCCACCATAGAGGCAATAACTTTCTGAAGTTCCTGTTCCTGCAGCAACTATTTGTCAACAGAAGGCTACTTGTGACCCATAAAGCTATCTTAAATATAATTATCTACTAAGTGAACAAGACTTCATTGGTATGTCTAATTCTCTTTAATATGTTTAATTTATCCTAAGGGTTCCAGCTTGGAGACCTGTTCAATCAATTACCAAAACAATAATAATGATAATGGAATGCATCTCAGGGTTTTTTATTTTGGCATCTTGGTAAAATGTTGCTGCAGTTAATTTCTAGTTCCAAGGAAGTCTGCTTAGCATGATGTCTGAATCACCTTGGGAGAAGTCACCGGTCTCTTTTTTTTCTGCTTGATTTGTCCCTTGTCTATTTCATACCAGCTGAAATAGAACAGGAACGTGGATAAATCTTGACAGTTTTGCGTTCTTCCTCCTGCCCTCTTTCTCTCTGCCTTTCTCAGACAGAATAAATAGGCAAGTTAAAAGCTAGACGCAAGCAGTCCTAGTGATACTCGAATGACAAGAAATGAAACAGAAAGAGCATCTAATCTTGTTGCAAATCATGATTATAGATTGCCTGCAGACTTTTACCGAGTAGGCGCTAGGCTCATAACTCACTGATCCCTTCTCTACAGAAACAAATGATGTTTTAATCTCATTATTGCCCTGTTTATTAAATATGAATCATGAACTGTAAAGTTTGGAAGTGAAAGCTTTAAAATTGATTGCCTATGAAGAATAAAAGATGAGCTGCACAGCCTGGTTAGTTTCGTTATAGATTTCCCCATACCTGATGGGTTACTTTGGAAAGATGTTCAAGAGCGATGAAATAGCTGTCTACTCTCACTCTTGGGGAAGCTAAAAAGACTGGCATGTCCTAAGGAGATGAAGGTTTCTTCATCCCTACTTTTGCTCTGAACTGATGCTACAAAAGCTTTTATCTCATTAACTTTCTCAACTGTTTCCGTTCTTATCCAGTCAAGATTTTTCCATCCTATTTATCTATTATATTCACCCGATGCTGTGTTTTTGTAAACTTCATGTTTCTGGCAGTAAAAAAAATAAAACAGGAGAGAGAGACAAAATAAAGATTTTAACCATTTTGCAGCCTACTGCTACTGCTAGCTAGATTGCCTCAAAGTTTTCCAAATGCAATTAGAACTTAAAAAATCAGCTGGTTAATAGAAAACTAGCAATTGATTTAGTTCCTGGAGAAAAGATGATCCTTTGGAATCTTTAAAGAGTTTTGGATTAGATATAGAGAAATTCTAAAATATTTTTAGATCAATGTTTGTTTGTTTTTCCTTAGGACTCCCAACAGTTCTGTTATGTACTAACCTTCTATTACTGCAATGTCATTGCTTATTAAAGTTCAACAAAATGATGTCAAAAGAGAGTCTATTTAATTGTATTTGATCAGTGCATAAACAGGCTCAATTTATCAGAGGTTTTTAAAGATTTGTGTCATGAAGGAATCAAATAAGATGACTTTTCATTGGTATGCTGAAGAGAACTTTTCTTTAGAATTATACACCACGTTTTCTTTTATTTAATCAAATATACTGTGGAATGTTGGATAAGTTTTTATTACAGTTTATAGAAGCAGGTCTGACTTGAGGGTGAATTATATTTTATTTAATTAACTAGCATATGAAATGCTATTTTATATAAATTACTAGGATATGAGATGCACAAACATTTGCAATATAATGAAGAGAAGCAATCATATTAAAAACTCCAGCAGAAATCCAAATGTCTTTGCATTTTTGTACCCTTGCCAACTTTCAAATGTATGGACTTCAACTCTTAGAATTCTCAAAAATAGCCATGCTTAGGTAGGGAATTCTGACCACACATCAAGAAGTTATGAAAGTTGGGAAAACTAATATAAGGATTTTTGCGGTCATCAATTTAAAAAGAACCAGCATCAGGCTTGTAATAAGGTAAGGAAAGAGAAAAGGCAGACAGATAATAACTAAGGTCTTAAACCAGGCCTTGAAATCCCCAGTCTACCTTCAGTCCCACCAGAAATAATGTATTCACTGGCTTGTCTTTGTCATTCTGCCCAAATTAACTCACAGATTTGTTGCTGGGGGGCGGAATAGAAGGGGATATTTGGCATGCTGCCCTCTCCTCCTTGAGGAGGACTGTGGTATACACTTAAATAAATGAATTACCATGCACACAGAATGCATTTGACCCCATTGGCTTCCAACAAACAAAGTTGATGGGTGAAGTCAGATTGACTTAACAATTCTGTGATTTGCTTAACTACCATGGCAAAAAAAAAAAAAAAGGTTGCAAAACTGGCACACTTAAGACCACACTGCTTACTAATGAAAGTTCTCGTTCCAATTGTGGTCATAAGTCAAGGACTACCTATATGAAGATCTGTAATTTATGTGATAAGATAGAAGTAGTGTTTCCTGACACTATGAATGCATTTGCACTTACATACAGGACCTATCATTAATTTACAGCCCTTCTCTCATGAAGGAAACATAATCACTAAACTTATACCACATGAATATGAGTTCACTTGCATTAAAAATGACAGTCTTATTAAGAGCATGTAAATGTTGCAGTTTAGACATCTGTAACATGAGACCCCATGCTATAAAGGATAAAAGGGGAAATTAAATTCCATTCTCTTTTAAAAGCCTGTGAGACTAACCAATATATTTATTGATTTAAAATATTTCACCTGCTTTCCTACTTAAAAAGCACTTAAAGCAGTTAAAATGCTTAAAATATGGATGAATGGAAAAGTGCACGGCTTGCATCACTCATAGATTTCATGTAGGTATGTGTGAAAATGTGCATAAAATACATACTGAGTTTTAGAATCCCATACCAGACATACTTGTCCATGCCATACTGTTTAGGATCCTTTGCAGCTGCATTGCGTTTATTTCAGGATACTAAAACAGGGGAGGCAAAAATTATAGAAAATCCAGTGATTAACATCTTTACATCTAAAATTACTAATGGGGAAGGGAAGATAGGCAGCATTCCTGTTAATCTTTTTTTAAAAAACCGGAGTTTTCAAAAAATCCATTTTGAATTAGGTCAACGCAATAAAAGATAAAGATTTATGATTCTCAATTTAATTAAATTTAATTTTGTCCTGTCTTTCCTCCATCTATTAGACAATAATATATTAAAAATATTACTCTGTTTAAGCACATACAACCTGACTTATATTAGACATACTATGTCTGGTCTGCAGAAATCCCAGTGGATCCTGATGAAAGCCAAACCTTCAGATTTTCTGTACTGTTACTATCCTCTATTGGTGGTATAGATTTTTAGTCCATTTATACCAAACAAGACCATTGATCTATCTGTTGCTGTACATTCAGCAAGAACTAGCTATCCCTTTATAGATTTTAGATCCACCACACAATACCCAACGTGGAGTTTGGATCTGACATCTTCAACATCCCAATGTGTGCTGCCAGATGGAGTGATCCATTTATGACATTCTGGGTCCAAGGATTACATCATGCAATCAAGAGATACTGATATTTGACACTGGGGAAGAATGTTTTTTTTCTTATTGGACATTGATGATTGACTTTTCAAGAATTTGATTATCAGCAAGGAGGTGGTTTACACTTCAGGCTAAGCCATGGTTTACTAATCATGCTTAAACTCACTGAAATTGCCTGGTTTCAGGCAACACGTGAAGCACAAATCCATGGTTTTTAAAATTTAAGGGCTGAGTTCACATAGCAGAGAAAACTCACACAAACCATTTTATGGTTTAGTTTGCTATGTGAACCCAATTAGAGTTACACACCAACAGACAAATGCCAAGTAGAAAACCATAATTTTTCTAAGAAACTGTTTTTGGTCAGACATGTTCAGAAAAAGTCCTCAGATGTACCAGAAAGAGATACTCACTTGATCAAAGTACTTAGAGAAGAATTCTTCACAGTCTTCATGTTTATCAACTATTTCCTATAAAGAATAAAACAAAAATTAAAAAGATGGAAGGGGGAAATCTATACAATTTTTCAAGATAGACCAATATGAGATTTGTAGAATATAAAATATGCATTGTATTTAATAAGCTGAGCCAGAAGCATTGTGGAGATGTACTTCTAAGAAATCCAAGTGCAGAAAAGTTGCTCCTATCCAGCAAAGACAAGACATGTGCCTATGACATTGATATTGCATGCGAAAATATTGTTGGGTGAACAATCATCATGTCAAGAATATCCAAATTAGTCTGTACCTCAGTGTTTCTCAATTTAGCAATTTTAAGGTGTGTGGACTTCAACTTCCAAAATTCTCTACTCAAAATAGAACCCATTGTAGTACCTAACAAGTTAAACAATTGGAGAGCAGATATCTATGTGAACAATTCAGGCAGAATGGGTACAAGCATTTGTTACAAGATGACTGTGCAACATGGTGGAGAGAGAAAGGAAAAAACAAGGTAAAAGTCCAACAACATGGCACACCGTGCCATACATCAAAAATAATTTGGAAGCAGTAGAACACACCTTTCAAGATCTACAAGTGGGCATCACATTCTGCCCAGGGGCTACCATATGAGGACAAATTATGCATTGTAATGCTTGGAGGTAGAAGATACTTCCAGTGTAATCTGAGTCCCCTGCATGGATTGCCCCTGTGACTGTGTAGGACAGGTGGGGAGGAAGCTAACCACCAGATTACAAGAAGACAAGAGAGTGGTCAGATGAGGAGACCAGAACTCATTGGTAGCCTCACGTTGCAATGAACAAGGACATACATTCAATTTTGCAGTTATAAAGTTATGAAGCTTGGGAAACAGGCTCCTCAACAGTCAACAGGAGTGCTGATTTATCACCAGCTTATCAAATACTTAGGAGGCAAGGCTTGGCAGCACAAGGGAACAACAGTGTCAGCTGGTGCTCCAATCAAAATCCAAGAAAGAAATACTTAGACTCCATTAGTTAGAGAAAAGATATCTTTTACTGGAAATCAAGTGGTAGCAACAAAAGAATTCTGAATCTGAGAAAATCTTGAAGGCTGACAAACAGTCAGTGACTGAATAGCTGGCTATCAACACCCCAATCAACAACTAAAAAGCCACGTACAACCAGGCACCATATAAATACCACACGCAGAATAGCTCAAAGTACACACTCTGTGGAGAGAGAGAGAGAGAGAGAGAAGTTCCCCGAGGATGAGATCCAACAAGCTCAGAAGACTGAACCTCTGGTCCCAGTGACTGACCCAGATTGAATCCAGTAATATTATCTTGGGACCTACATATTCACCTTCATTCAAGAATAGACTTTCCCTGCAAGTTATTGTCAGCAACATGTATCTCACCATATTTATTTATTAGATGTTTAGCCAATCTTTCCTCAGGAGTTCAAGGCAGTATATATAGTACTCCCTCTTCCATTTTCCCCTACAACTACAATGTGTGAATCTGGGCTAGTTGACCAGTCAGTTTCCATGGCTAAAGATGGACTTGAGTCTTCATGATCCTAATCCAAAATCTTAATCACTATATGACACTGACTCCCCAGTTCTAATTATGTATGTATACAATGTAAAGCCTCAGAATCTGGAAGAATCAAAAAATATCCTGCCCTAGATACATTATTGATTCTCCATAAAGATAAGATATCCATCTATTCTAAGCAGTGGTGGGATTCAAATAATTTAGCAACCAGTTCTCTCTTGATTTCTTCCAACAACCAGTTCACCAAACTGCTCAGGAAGTTAACAACCAGTTCTCCTGAAGTGGTGCGAACTGGCTGAATCCTACCAATACATCTAAGTTTTCAACACATTTGTGCCTCCCAACTAAACTGCTAAACTGTGTGATGCACAGAGGTCATCAAAAATATTAGCAAGCCCTGAAATGACTTTATTTGCTATATTCTGCAATTCACGGATAGCAATTGCCTCACTGATCTATACAATATCTTCAGCCTCTTGAAAATCCCCTTTCCTGAACTTTGGCAACAAATGCAGATGATTTTATTTTTTAGTTGAGGCTCTTAGCTTCACCCTTGGTATAAAAGCATATGACCCTTGGATCCCAACAATGTATATGGAGATTTTAATGCTGAAACAAATGAATAGGGGTAAAGACATTGCTTAAACCTCAAGGTCAACACCTCTAGGAGGTTTAAACAGCCTCACTGCCTCTTCAGATTTGGACAGAAAGCATGCTAGCAACTCTCCACTGTTCTTTTAAAACTGAGATTAAAAGATGCTATTCTCAACAGCAATCTATTTATCTATTTTACTTTAGCCACAGCTTAGTAGGATGCAGTACGTGTGTTTTGGGTCCCTGTGGCATTTAGCTAGTGAGTTCTCAAGATTTTCTTTCTTGATCAGCTATTATGGTTTAAGTCAAAATAAATATTCACTGCACATGAGTGATGAAGGAGAGATCTTCTGTTGCCATTTCCACATTATGAAGTACTATGAGTTATATTTCCTTTGCTTTCTGCTACCCTTTAAAAGCACACCGCAAGGACAACTCAATCACTCCTACTTTTTCCCTAATTTTTATTCTGACATTCAGGTGTCACAACTGACAATCAGAATCCATTTGTAAATTTAGTTCACTGATGGCCTCATCCCCATTCAGGTTATGCCTCTGAGAGCAGTTAAGCAGAAAAAAACAAGAGACAGAAACAAAGCAGTAGCTATACAGCATGATTTCTAATCAAATCTCACCTTTGAAAGGACACAGCTCGAGTCTCCACCCAATTCACTTTAAAAAAAAGAAAGAAAGAAAACCACCATGAATGTTAGAATGATGAAGTGAGTATCATGATTTATCTAGACTGAGATCTGTTATTTTATCTTGCTTCGAAGTATATCTTAGATTTTTAAATTTTAATAAAAAATAGTATTTTAAAAAACTGTTTAATAAAACCCACAAATCTGGAAGACATGATATTCTAATTTTTGGCTTCTCTGTGATTTGACCTTACTTGAAGACAATACAACTAAGAGCACCAATCCGTTTCTGAGTAGAAATGGAAGATCTCCCAAGAAATTACTATCAGAGAGAAACTTTCATATATCCTGTACTTTTTATAGTAGAATTCACTACAAGAAGTCCTTTTATAAAGTACATGTAGACAACACTTGCACATTGACAAATACCATTTATTTCCTTTTTCTCTTTCCATGCAGAAAACCTATATAACAAACATTTTAGTAGAAAGAGATTTTAGTTTTGGCCCTCTACTTCACCAAGAGAAGGTCTTCACCAAGATTCTTAAGAAGAGTCACTGCTTCTTCAGCAATCTTGATGTAGACAGTACTGGACGCAAGAGCATACAAGGAAATTAGATTGTCTACTGCCTTTTCTTGGACAATTGTAGCAATGACATAAGTAAGAGTTGGGGGGTGCAATACAGGAGGAAAATAAAGAGAGGCATCAGCAGTAAGCCTGATTGTAGTAGATCAGCAAATCTTTCTGACACCCCCCTCCTAGTAAAGATAAGAACACTTTGGTTAACCACAATCAATTGTGTCTCGAAGGATTGTGAGTTCCATTGTTATTTTAAACCAATTTCTCATCTCAGAATTCTTTTACTTTTTTGGTATCCACATCCAGATGGCAAATCTCTGGCTTCTATAAAATACAGAATATTTCATACAGGCCTGAAATCTGCACCCAAAGATCTACTAGTTACCTAATTACCAACCTTAGCGTGTCTGGCACTTCACAGCATGCTAGGGTGTTTGAAGAAACAAAACTATGAATGTGGTGAAAAAGGAGATGAAAGGAAGCAGAACTGAAGAGGGAGGCACAGAGGTTTTGCTGGAAACACACAGGAGGAATTAAAAACAAGAAGTCTGGGTGTTAGGATGATCTTTGCAAACTAAGAAAGAAATTCTTACCACAAGCTATGCTTTCTGGAGAAGATTCGCAAGATGAACTCTGACTCTTGATGAGGTTCCAAGGTAGAAGGAACCACCACATAAGTCCCAGGAGGGAGGCGGAAATCCTGAGTCACTTCCCGATCATTCACAAAGAGCGACTGACCCAAAGGTGCATTCCAGATGAAGAAAGAAGGAGGCAGCTTTTTATTATTATTGCAGGACTAAAAAATAAAACAAGAAAATAAATCAAGGGCATTTCTCATGATGACTGAGGTTTTTTTTTTTTAAGTAATAGAAGGGAGATGAATGTTTACATTTTTATACTGCTCACAATGTTGGCTTAGGCTCTGGGAACAAATATTCATGCCATCCGTACCTGTATTAAAAACAGATGCTGGAGATCATTTCTAGATATTTCTAGATAAAATACAACACTAAAAACAGTACTGGAATGTTTAAAAACATTAAGCACTGGGGTGGCAGATTTTCACTGGGAATGGTCAAGGTTTCCTCCTTCTTCTGACATTTTTTACTCCCTATGACCAGAGGTGGTATTCAGCAAGTTCTAACCAATTCTGGAGAACCAGTAGTGGAAATTTCGAGTAGTTTGGAGAAACGACAAATGCCACCTCTCACCAAGCCACACCCACAGAACCAGTAGTAAAAAAAATTGAATCCCACACCTGCCTATGACTAGAATATTTGTCAATCCAGTCTCCACACCAATAATATTCTAAACTGCATATGGCATGTTTAATAGAAATTAAACCTTTACGGCTGAAACCAACAAATATCTGAGCCTTTTTGCTCATCTCCCCATGTTATTTTTTTCCTCAGTTTCTCTCTCTTCCCTCCAGTGGTGGGATTCAAAAAAAATTACTACCATTCTGTGGGCATGGTTTGGTAACACCTCACTAACCTGTTTTCCAGCTCCGTTCTCCTGTGCAGGGCAACAAAAGAAGACCCAGACGATCAGGAGGCAGAGAATAGATGGGGGCGGGGCCAATCAGAGGTGGCATTTGCCGGTTCTCTGAACCACTCAAAATTTCCACCTCCGGTTTTCCAGAACCTGTCAAAACTGGCTGAATATCATCTCTGCTTCCCTCTTGCCCTATGCTTTCTTTGAGTACAATTTTAAGTCTTCTGAATAATCAGCTCAGAACAGTTTCCAAAAGACCCTCCAAGACCTTGTAGGGGCAGGACTGGGAGAAGGTTGAATCTATGTGAACTGGCTGGACAAGCAGATAAATACAAGAGTAGGCGATCCATCAGATCAGGTCTGGAGCTTTGTAGGTCTTTAAAGGAGACTCCTGGCATACTGAATTGCATCTAGAAGTCTAATGGCAGCCAATGCAGTTCACAAAGTATGAATAAGTTATTCACAGAGCAAGTACACATAACTATATCAGGATATATGCTGAAGCTGCTGCATTTTGTATCATGTCTAATTTACATATTCTGCTTGATCACACATCATGCATCATCCCTGACTGCAATTGGAGCATCAGAAAGAAACCTGTCAATGATTCACTACTATGACTATTATAGTCAGGAGCATGCAAGATAACAGTTGGTGTAGAGCTTAAGGCATAAAACTAGAAACAGAGACTGTGAGTTCTAGCCCCACCTTGGGCACATAGCCAGCAGGTTGGCCTTGAGCCAGTTACTGTCTCTCAGCCCTAGGAAGAAGGAAAACCTGGTTTTGAAAAAAAAAACATGCCAACCAAACCTTCAAGGACTTGTTCAGTCACTCTCTGAGAATCAGACACAAGTGAACAGAAGAACTGAAAACATGCAATAATAGGGCAATCCAATTGTTTTCAAATTCTATTTAGAATTTAGTTCCATTTTTATGTGAAACCCAAGAATACCAAGTCTATATTCTTCACAATGTTCCTGTTCTTGTTTGTTCCGTAAAAACTCCTGAAAGCTTAACCAGACTTACTGTCTGTGTAAGCATGCTTAGAATTATAACTGTAGATATATACTTTGAGCACTTCATATGACCATGAAGAAAAACTTGCCCTTTTATTGGGCATTTCTATCACCAACAACTAAATCTAATACTCATACATGAAGACTATCAATAATTACACTGCGAAGAAAAATGGAGCCTCCAGGAGCCAGGCATACCTCACAATGACTCTGACATTTTACTCTCCAATGGACTTTGTTACCACAAGAGCATTTGCAGAGCAACTTTCGCCCCCTCTCTCACTCTCCTTGTATTTCTCTCTTGCTAATGGAGCCATTTATCATCTGCTAAGAGGGTGGGGTTGCCCCTTAGAATGCATCATATATTAAATGCAAAGCATTTATGCCTTGGTCAATGCTGTGATTCATTGTATTTCCAATTTTAAAACTGCTCTTGGTTTTGTACTTCACTATATTAATCTTGATATTCAATACATGTCTGAAATTACCTCTTAGCAGTCTCCAGTTCCAAGCTTCAATGAGCTTAAATGGCAAAGTGCTGTCTCCCAATTGGTCCAAAGCACCATATGAAAGACAAATAGATTTGGTTTCCCTGCTCTAGCCGGATAATATAGCTAGCCATCCCCTATAACCTTAAGAGCTCCCTATGGGAAGCAATGACAGCCTGACAGGCTTCACAGCAAAGCAACACAGAGGTGTTTAGCTTTTAAAGCACAAGAGCCTGGTGGGTTCACTCAGGAACAGAATATTCTCATTAAATCTGAAGTAAAATTTCAGAACATTTGGAGGGTTGTCAGAATTTGAATTTATGTACTACTCTGAAACCTTAATAAAACTTGAGTGCTTTTGACAAGTTGCACAATCTCTTTGGGATTTGAGTTTTGTCGTTCATTAAATGCAAGCTCGTTTAAGGGATACTGTATGCAGTAAACTGGATTTAATTTTAGAAGACTATCCAACTTGCTGCAAGTTGTTTTCTATCTTTCCATTTCCCTATTGTTATGGCCTTCAAGAAGCCGAAAAACTGGGCACAATGTATGCCAAATATGATAGTTTGAGCCTTGTCATTAATGCCCTGAGTAAGGACTCTGATTGCCTTGCTCTATGATCCATTTCTTCATTTTTATTGTTACTTGTAGTATTCCTGAGAGTCTCCTCTATCACAAAACTTCAAAAGTGTCATTGCTCCTTCCATTTGCATCTTCAAAATCCAATTTTCCTTAATTCCACAGTGTACCACAGGGAAAACTATTGTCTGGACAATTTGGTTCTTTATAGCTAGCGACTTGTCACTGTCTCTTTTCCATGCCCTTCATTGCTGTCCTAATAAGTGCTGATTTTCATCATATTTCATGATTACTGATTCCCTTACTTTGATAGTCACTCCTACATCGCCTCATATACATGATATGAAATCATGTATGTATGATTCTATAAATATATATAAATCAAATAAATAAATAAAAGGCAAAAAATGTAGAGGGAATAAATAATGACTTTGAAGGATAGTAGAAAGAGCCACAACCAAAACAACAATCAGATAAGAGGAGCGTGAGCCTGGACCAAAAAATTAGTTTGAGTAAACATCTCAAATAGACCCTCCATACAAACAAACCAAGATAAAGTGATGGAGAGGGGAGTACATTCAGAGTTGCAAGATGTTGTTATTACTTTAGCTCTTACCAAAAAAAGTAGCCCTATGGTAACAGTTTTTAGTCTGATTTATCTTGTTAGGCTGACATCAATCTTAATTCTTATTCCAAAAGAACATCTCATTAGAGGAGTCCATATGACATTAATTATAGTTTTTTCATTGCCAGGTAGAAATATAATACACCCAGGATTTTTAGTTACCTACTAGTTGATTCATAACCCATTGGGTCACCATTTCAGAGATATTTCCTTGCCAAAATAGACAAACAGTCAGTCACCTCAGTCAGGCAATAGCAGTGGGAGAGGGAGTGATATTTGACTTCCTGCTGACTTCCTCACTGACATTCCTTCCTGCCAGGAAGCTGGCAGAGAGTCTTGGGAATTATTATATGGCCACAGCTGACCAAGACAATGCAGAGTTGCTACAGCATGGTGGTACTGAAACAACGCTGCCAAATTTCAGTCCCATAGGTTCCATATTTGGGGTGCATTCTTTAAGCTAGCCCATCTGAAATATGTTGATTCAATGATTCAATGGCAATATGTCACCAAAAATTCATTTCCTGCATTCATACTTGAACTTCTTTCCTGAAAACCTAGTGACAGACATAGCGAGAGTTTTCAGCAGCATATTGCCAGAAAGGAAAAACAATATCAGGGCAACTGGAAGTCAGTGCTGGATAACTGTTGTTGCATATCTCAGCAAGATGCATCAGACACTGAGTGTAAACAAAAATCAGCAGCAAAACACTTTTAGCCCTCTTGACCTCATGCAGTACGTCAGAAACATATTGAATACATTATAGTCATTAAAAGTCAATTTCATATTTCTCAAAATTCCTGTGTGGTTCAGTCATTCTGAAATTACATTTATATTCAGTTTGAAGGGGTCTATCATAATTACCAACCAAGTTTTGCAGAAAGCAAAACTTTTGAAAAAATTCTTGTCCAGTGTATTGATTTAAAGCAAAACTGTTCAGAGCATGCTATTCATTCATGGAATGAATACAAGTAGTCCTCAATTTATGACCAGTGACTTCAATGTTATGACAGACACACATACACCAAAGGCTACTTATGATCCGATTTTTAAATTAGAGCCACTGTAGTGCCACTGCAGTCATTTGCCCATATGACCAACTGCAGGGATGCTGTAGTGCCCCCTCCTAGCTATTTCCCTCCCTTCCTTCCCCATTGGGTCTCCACTGGCCTTGAGCCAGCTCCCTCCGCTCCAAGGTCCCTATAAGGCTTCGGCTGCTAAACAGAGATGCTGTGCTCACACTCTCACATATTCTTGTGAGACGACGATATTTTTCCAAACCATTTTCAAAGCACATGTAGCCACATGAAAATGGACCTGAACTGTAAATGAAAATGTGTACACATTTACATTAATGCATTAATTTGTAAAACAAACGAGTTTGGGGGGAAAATAAGGCATTATAAATTTGGCGATAATCTGAATGTAGTCAGATCAGGTTTTGATAGTACCTGAAAATGATACTAGGGAAAAGTGGAGCTAAAAAGGGTGTGTGTGTGGGGGGGGGGGGGGGAGAATAAAGAAACATTGCAATTCCTGAATAAAAAAGGAAAACATAAAAGACAATTAGTGTATTAGATTTCTGCTGTCCCAGAAGTCACCAAATTACAGGGACTTCACTAAGAATCCCGAGGGATAGAAGTCAAATGTTAGAGAAAGTTCATATTTGGAAAAGCTGTTCTACTGAACAATGGCATCTAATCTCCTGAAATGCAGCTCTTTCTCATCCCAAAATGCATTTATTAAATTTAAAAAACTCAACATATTTGAGATGAAGTAGCTCAGAACTATTATTTAAGACTAGCTATATGCAGTGGAGAAAAAATGTTTATATCGATTTAGTGGCATCTACAAGTAATTTCCACAAATCAGCCAAAAAGATAGTTGAACAACTCCCCAGAATCTATAATTATTAGAGCCAGAAAAGAAAGAGAGAAAAAGGGGGAAAAATATAATAAAACCATTTCTCACTCAACCTTGTCTCCTGCTTCTGGGCATATCCCAGGGACATTGCCATTAATCCTTAATTAAGCTATAAAAGTGCATTATCTTGAAATGTATTCAATCACTTTGGCATTAACAGTCTTTTTTTTTCTAATTTCCTTAGAAGAACAAGGAATACTGAATACTATATACTTGAATGCCATATCTAAACACTCATATTGGACAGTGTTCAGATCTGGAAAAGCAAAAAAAATAAAGATTGTGAACAATTTCAATAATAATTTCTAACAAAAATTATTAAGATTTTAGTCTGAATATTTCACCCCTTGAAAGCAACATATTCCAACTTTTTCACATAAAGACCCATGTATTTTATAATGTATGATAGTTAAAATCATTGCAATCACTAAGACATGCTCTTCATTACTAATTTAAGGCTATTGCACTTAAGACTGTCTACCTTCAACATCATGTCTCCAACATTGCAACTCTAAATAAATGAAAATCATATTCACAGCAGAAATTAATACAGCAGAAAGTCAGTGTTGCTGCACTGATTGAGGTTAGTTGCACATTTTCTGCTTAACCCTAATTCGGTAAAAAAGCAAGAGAAAGTAATGTATATAAACTATGGTACCAAACTGTGCCCCAAACACACACACACACACACACACACACACACACACACACACACATGCTCAAAAAATGGAAAAGTCCTACATACCTCCTGGTCCACCTAGAAGGAAGAGAAAGGACATGTGTCAACAAGTAAACACCAAGACTTTTAAAAGTGAGAATTGTTAAGTGGTACACTTAATCAGAACAAGAAAGCACTAAACAAACCTTCTACCATTGTTGATTAATCTTTTGCACGGAGGGTTGTTTAGGCCTACATTGTCTTTAAAACCCTTTCCATCTTTTTTAAAATGTACAAGAAATTATGCTAAATATAGTAGAAAATATTGGTGTTTACTAGGGAATTATCAAATCAGGAAAGGTTTTGATTGCTATGCAAAACTTGCGTGTAGGATCTTATTTATATTTTCTTTACATGATATTCTTGTAATTCCGACCCTTCTTCTTTTTTCTGCCTGTAGTTTATAAACTCTTTATCTTAATTTAATAACAGTCTTTATAAAGCTAACAAATTCTAACTACAACAAGAAAAGTTAAATATAAACTAGAAAAAAAAGAGTAAAAGGTTCAAACAAAGAAAAAAATGACTAAATATTCAGCTCTTTTTGATGGAACCAGGACATCTTTGTTGGTTAACATCATTGTCCTGACACCATACTGGAAAAGAAGCTGATATTTATAGTATTTGCTTAGCAAAGCCAAAGAATTTCCTTCTCTTCCTCTTGAGCAATTCAAACCCCCATTTAAGCACAATTCTCTTTACCTTATAGAGTGATAAGCCTATGTGCAGATGAGGGACCCGATTCCGATGTTTGCCACTATGTTTTTGGATCAAAGACACCAATACGCTACAGGAGTATAAAGATCTTTTGCTTCCATTGCCTTGCAAAACTTTCAACAAGTATTGGGGATTCATCCAAAAAGAGCCTGAGGGTGGAAAGGGCAAAAATACAGGCCTCAGTCCCCAGAACGTCATTCTGTGCCTGGTTGTGAAGTTTACATGGAGAGACTGCTAACCACAACAAGAAAAAAATCCACAACAATGGAACAGAGCTAATATTAAGAAAAATGTCACATAGACTATAAACTGTTTTATTGATCTAGATGGTCTGATTTAAAATAAGCAAGCAAGAAAAAACATTTTCCAAAGTAAGACTGTATACATTAAAAGAACTAAATGTCTTCCTTAGCAGTTATATAGTTCCATAATAAAGAATGTTATCCATCTGGTTCTCCCAAAATAATTCTGGACTGCAACTCCCATTTGCCTTAACAAACATGGCCAAATCATGAATAAATGAAGCCAAAATACTTTGGAAGGATTAAAACACTTTGAGGAAGACTGTGGTCATACTTTCCAATTGTTCTAAATCCTTTTTGAAGCTGTATCTTTGATCATCTTCACCTCTACAAACATTGGAACACACAACAAACAGTGAATACTATGAAATCTTTAGCTTACTAATAGGAAAGTGCAAAAACTATTACCCAGTCAAAGCCCTCCGCCATATACTAAAGGTCCTACAGCAATATGTCAAACACATACCTGATATAAAACAAAAGGAATTAAATAATTGCTACCTTTCTTATTTTCTTTTAGAAAATAATATATAACACTTTTGATTTTCTGGACTGGCTCCAAGGATTGGGAATGAGGGAGGGGACATTTTATGGTGCTTTTCTTTGTTCCTTCAGGGCTGGTTTTAGTAAGTGTTAGATGGAAGAGATACTCCCTGTTCTCAACTCCTCCTTTGTGGGGTGCTACAAGGTTAATTTTATCTGACTCTTATTCAACATATACTGTATGTGAAACTACTGGATGAGCATATTCACCAATCTGGGGTTTGGTATCATCCATAAGCTGATGATACCCAATTAGATCTTTCATCCCCAGTCCAGCCAAGTAAGATTGTCCTGACCAAGTGCCTCAAGGCTGAGTGGATCTAGAGTTGGTGAAAGTCTTTGATTAAGTTCTACCAAGACTGGGTAAATATAGTTATTGGGACCACTGAGTTTAGGGAGATATTGAATTTTTAGCCTTGGAAAAGATTGCACGTCCCCATTCAAAAGTAGTGCCCAATCTGGAACCACAGCTCCTGCTTTATGGACATGTGGCAGCTGTGTTGTGGAAGTTGTATCCTTTCCTCAGATGGGGAAGGTATTCAGAGGAACATTCATGCCCTAAACACTTTACAGCTTGAATATTACATTGTGCTCTACAGGAAACTTCCCCTTAATACCACTCAGAAATTTCAACTTGTCCCAGAATGCAATGGCATGGCAGCGATGGTATGCATATGTTCTCTGCAAATATGTTTTCTCTGCAAAGCTGCATTGAGTGTGATTTAAGGTAGTGGTTATGAAGTATAAAGCCCTATACATCATACACCTTGGTTATTTGAGGTAGCATCTGCCCAGATAATTTAAGATTTAAGTTTGGCGCATTTGGGGTTCCTTCAATTAAACCATGTCATCTATCAGTACCCAAGAAGTGCTCCTTCTCTGTGGCTCTCTGCAATAAGGGTCAGGTGGCTGTGGTTGTTCTCCCAGACTGTGGGATTTGATGGCTAGAGCCCCCTCTGCTAGATTATTTATTTCTTCTTATTATATTTTTTTATATTGTCTGGTTTTTGTAGTTTGTCCAAAGTCGTTGGAGTCAAATGGCATCAAACTGAATGATAACAACATCATCAAGATAAAGCTGAATTGGGTTTGGAGACACTGGTTTTGGAACAAATGTATATAAAGTACCTTCTTTGCCATCCCATGCCAAAAAGCCAATACATATCCTGGCACTTTGTGTTTTTTCCCTTGTTTATGAAGAAGAGGAAATAAGGAAAACTCTTTGTCAGTTTCACCCAGTTCTTTTGTCTGGGTTACCGTGGAGGGTAAGTATGTATAGTTGGAACAATCTGCAGAATCCAAAACAGAGCAGAGTGATTTGGGGCTACCTTGAGATGGCTGAGCAACTGCAGTAAAAGAGAACCTGTGGAATTTTCAAGCCACCTTCCCCTTTAAGAGCCTCTAAACAAATTATGGATATTCTTCATTTAACAACCACTCATTTGAATTTACAGTTGTAGGCACTGAATGAGGAGGACCTACACCCCAACCTCAAAGTTGCAGTTGTTGCATTGCTCCCTGAGGTCATGTGTTCACCACATGTGAACTTCTCTGCCTGCTTCCCACAAGCAAAGTAAATAAGGAAGGGGCAGGAAGTCAAAAGTTGTGGTTACTTGCTTAGTGAGGTCTGCGATTCTCCTTTAAGAGTCACAACAGGATTCTTGTTGCTAAGCAAATGCAGTCACATAACATCATACTTTATGACTGCATTGCTTAGCAATGGGCATTCTAGTCCCTATTACCATTGTTAAGCATGGACCACCTGCAATACATCTGCTGAAACCTGAAGGCAATTTATATTCTTATCAGTTCCTGCTTGTAGGAAAACTGCTCACCAACTCTGCAAAGGGGGGGGGGGGTGTCACTCTTTTTTTGCAATTTCATATATAAGCTGATGTGCGTGCTGAAGCACATCATTATTTAACAGAAATAGTTTAAGAAGAATTCTTCAGCTAGAGTTAACTGAGCATTTTGATTTCATATCATTCAATATTTATATGTTCTATAAGTTGCTCTATAGACATTATTATAAGAGAACAGATACATATCACCTTAAACCAAGGCATTATTTTTCAAACCTCATCTCCCCGGGAAGTCTCACCTCTGAAGTTCTTCAATCTGCCACCTGCTGTGCTTCCTTTGATCCATTTGCCAAACTGCATGGAGCACATCCACTTCTTCCCATCTTCCTGACTCATGAGATCAGGAGTCAATTTACAGATCATCAGATCCACAAAATGAATTTTCAAGTCTTCCAGTGACATCCTGTGATTAAACAAAAACAAAAAAAACCACCTTGTTTTATGACCAAATAGATAAACCAGGAACAGGGCTTTGATTATGTGGCCCGGCCAACAATCTACTTTGTTAAAAAAAATCACCGATCGCTTTGTCTAATTAGCACTGATAAAGAGGATAGGCAAAGAAGAAGGTAAAAGAAAATGCAGCTTTGTGTAAAATGCCTGACATATCATTAGTGCTAAAACATGAATATGAGTGCAAAAGTGAAAAGGCAAGAGCAAAGAAAAAATTACCTGGGCAAATGTTATTTGTCAAAAAGCATAACATTAAAATCTGTGTTGTTATTGCCACCTAGTGGTAAAATGTTATAATATGAAAACGTGGAATAAATAACTTCTGGCTCTGTAGTTATGGAGTATGTGTGTGTACATTTGAGCATATGTGTGAAATCATTGTGCATATAAATGCTTGTGTGAAATGTATGCTCGTGATTATGTATGTGATGACAAGTAAAATGTATGTGGAAACATGTGACAAGCTTTGGGTTCTCCTAAATGGCCCTTTTTAAACCAAACATAAACTACTTGCAAGAATTTCATTGGTGTAGGTTGGAATAAAAAGTGCCTGATTTTATAATATATTTTAGATTCAAATCTCATCCCATTTCATCCAAACTCCATATAGGAAATGCAGCAATAACTATGACTGATTCACGACTTAGTCCGCTACTTTCTGAGACTACACCAACTCTTACAGTTAGGAAGTGCTTCTAATATTTAATGAGGAATCTGTTTCTCAGAGGTTTCCGACCATTAATTGTAAGACTGCATTCTGGAGCAATTGAAAATGAGTTAGCTTCATCTTTTGCATAATACTCGTTGGGTGTTTCAAGATAGTTGCAATAAAGCACTGTGAAGCGGTATATAAGTCTAAGTTCTATTGCTATCTTAATGCTTTCTTTTGCAAACTAAACACATCTACTCCCTGACATTATCAAAATCCCTATTTTGTTACTGGTCATTAAGTATTCTTTACTGAACTAAATATTCTTTAGGCAGGAGTCTCTTATTAGCTTTTGGGGTGTGCTTCTAACAATCCTTCTCTATTTACATTGGAGTCAAATATTCATATTCTTTCTGACTACTCAAAATTTGATACATATTCACCAAATATCTGATTATTTTTTATTTGTTACCTCATTGATTTAATATGATAATGATACACTAGCTCTATAGCTATATATTGAATATTAAAAATTTGATATATTCTTCTGGCACATAATTTATTTTACTATTTCTGATTGCTAGAATGAAGGGGTATCCTGGACTGAGTAAACCTGTGCAAAGATTTGATGGTTCAGCTGGAAAGTGATTTAAGTGAAGCACATCATTGAAGAAAGTGTGTGATATTCACCCCATGAGAGGTGGAGCAACATTCCTATAGTCTGATACCCATTCCCTTTTTTATCTTTCCCTGCTTCAGCCCCACCACTTCTATTCTATTTTATTATTTCATGAAAATACCAGAATTCTCCATCATCGGAATTCCTTCGTAGCAAAATCTTCTCTTTGGGGCTGAGCAGCTCCCATTTTCCAGAGCTAAAGTAAAAAGAAAAAAAGATGATTGTAAAACAGAACTCACTCAGCTTTGATGCACTAAGAATTACAGATTCAGTGAAGGTCTGAACTCTCAGGCAACAGATTCAGTTCAGAACAATCTTCTGCTGAATTACAGCTTTCTCTGGACACCCAAAATTTACCTATTCACATTTCTCCAGCCCTAAATGAATGGGTCATGTTTATTTACCTGATGTTTAATTGGAAAATTGCATTGCAAAATTCAGAGGAAATTGAATTTTCAGATAATACCTGAAATTTGGTTGATTTGTTACAGGGAGTCCCCACTTACCGATGGTAATTGGGACCAGCAACTTTATTATTAAATAATGTGATTATAAGGCATGAGATCACGGAACCATGCCCCAGTTGCTCTTGTTAGGCAAATCCAATATCCCGTGGTAATGTGATTGCCATTTGCAATCTCCTGCCAACGTCCCCATTTACTTTGCTTGTTAGAAACCAGCAGTGAAGGTCACAGATAGTGATCATGTGACCATGGAACACAGTGATGTCATAATTGTGAGCTAATCACTGGCCACCTAAATCTCAATCACATGACCGCAGGGACATTCCATCATAGCTACAACTATGAGTCATTCAGCACTTCATACAGTTGTTGAATGTACGGATGTCAAACAAAGACTACCTGTAATTTAAAAATGCAAAATGCATGAACACTTATTAAATTCAATGTTTTCCCCTTTTTTATCCTGGTTAATCCTCAGAATATTTTTGCATATAAAGAGCTTTAGAGAATGTTTTAAGGAGAAATCAGTTGATTTACTATATAAATTTACTTTCTACAGATTCCTTACATATATTATTGTTAACATACAGGTTTATTTTTATATAATTAGTGCATTCACATTCTGTTAAACTACAGATAAATTTATTTATTTACTAAACTTATAACTTTAAATCAACAAATAAATAGTACAACTTAAAATCAGTGCTATCAAGGAAATGTTTATCAAAACTTTAGCAAAAAAAGATTCACTTCCTATGGATTTTCTCAGCCCCCATCATAACTGTGTAATGCTGATATTCTCATTTTTGATCAAGACAAGTTTAAAAGTCTCCAATTAATTAGAGCTATTGGTGTTCCTAATAAACAAATAGCAGTGCTGAGATTTTAATCTATCTTGAGTGAAACCAGGGAAAGTTATAAAGTTTCTTTTTCTGCACCACCATGTTTTATTTTCTGGTCTTTGGTGCAATGTGTTTACGGTTCACCCAAGTTCAGATGATCTTTCAGAACAGTTCAGTGTTGCGTTCTAACTGATGACCTTGTCTGTGTTAATCTCTACCTGCGGGTGGCATTGAGATTGCATCCATCTGAAGTGTCACTTTGTTTTGCTGTAAGGACTCACCTGTCACTCCAATCCCCTTTCCATTCAACTTTTCCCCAGGGATTTCTTAGCCTTACTAAATTTTCAGGTCCATGTTTGCATGTCACCTTTGGGAAACAATAACAGATTCCTACAGTAAGAATTATTCTTCAACTTTCCTTTGCTTTGGGTAACTATAACTTTCTAAGTAAGATACAAGATATCAGTATGGGTCTAGCAAATACTGAGTAACTTGATCCATAAATATTTCTAAGGGCATTTAGGTTCCATAAGACCAATAGCACATTCTGCCAGGATTTGATCCATCAGTAAATAGTTTGCCATTTGCCAAACGAAGCCAAATGGGCAGGTGATGAGCTGGAGAACTGGGAAGAAGGCTATGACTCTTAGATTATCCAAGATGGTAATCTATATTAGAAGGGTCGCCCTGTCTAAAATACAAAGATAAAGAACCAAGTTATGAGGAATCTGCAGTTCCCCATCAACATTCGACATCTGAACTGCAGACTGCAGAAATAAATAATCTAATTCTAGTCTTCTTTACCAGTGAGATGTATTTGTAGTGTCCATTATTCAGCATACTGAATCAGCAACTAACCACATGAGCTGAGTTCACATACCACACTAGGTTAAAAAGTGGTTGGCTGGCTTGCATTCAGTATGCAAAGTGTAAACTAGATATAGTGCAGGAGCTCAGTATTTTGGCCATGTGATTTGTAAAAGAAAACACTAAACCCCTCCATTTCCCACTGTCCTCATTTTAGCAATACAAAATTTGTTTGGCTTAGCTTAGCTACTGTCAGCAGAGCTCATGCATCAGTTACTGCTTTTGATTTACACAAGAGACTAGCTATTGCTCTTCTGCCTTTTATTCATGCCATTAAAGGGAATATGATAAAGCAGCTCCTTAGCTGCCTCTGTGCCTTCACAGGTTTTGCAAAATATCATTCATAGCTTTGGTCTATATGTGACAGCCCTACAAAGGTTTTTGTCCTTCCCCAGCCCCTTCCTCATTACTGTGAATTTTCAATCAGTTAAAATTGAAGTTAGTGATTCTAAGTCTACCTGAGGGATTCAGCTTATGAATAAATTGGTTGAGGTTGGTCTAAGAAAAATGCAGGTTTTAGCCTAGTGTTTTCTGCTTTGCTGTAGTCCAGGAGTGTCAAACTCGCAGCATCACAATGGCATCACGTGACGTATTGGGACTTTTTTCCCCTTTGCTAAACTGGGCAGGGGCATGGCCAGCACATATTTTTTTTATTTATTTAATTTATTTGATTTGTCAATTGCTTACAAGGTAATAGATATAAGTATAAACATGAGTAAAAATACAGGAAATTGGTACAAATAAATGAGTTTGACAGCCCTGCCCTAGTCCTTTCCCTACTACAGGTGCAGTTCCTAAAGGGCCCCCATACTTGTGTTTCCAAAAGGCCATTGAGGTAGATCAGGACTTGATATCATGGTAGCTGATCTTGAATTGTATAAGGCCAATATTACAAGTAGAGGTTTCAGTGACCAACTTCTATCTGCCATCATTAGTAGCACCACAAAGTTTGATGAGTTTGATGAAGCTAAGTTTCAATAGCCCAACTAAAGATTTTAATGAGCCAATTTTTATTTATTTCTTTGTTTATATCTTATCTTTAATGTTTTTACAAATAACTCAAGGTGGCAAACATATCCAACATATCTTCTTCCTATTTTCCCCTCAGGTACAATCCTGTGAGGTGGGTTGGGGAGAGAGAAAGAGAGAGAGAGAGAGAGAGAGAGAGAGAGAGAGAGAGATTGGCCATAAGGGCTTGAACTCAGTTCCATGGTTTCTAGCCTCATGCTTAACCACTAGCTCAAATTTTTATGGTCCATTTGCAGAGACTGTGGTTTAAATTATCTGGTTCACAGCTTAACCAAAATCATGGCTTACTGAAAAATACAAAATTAGCTGGATTCATGCAGCAAACCACATCATGGTGTAGCACAATATGTGTATTTAGCAAATGATTTTTGCTTTTCTGAGCCTTATAGATATATCCATTTCTTCTAGTCAAGAATAACTTGGGAATTTAAAGAAAAGAAGAATGAATGAAATTATAAGGCCTGATAGCCTCCACATTGTTCTATTGTTCTATTGTGCTCCCTAAGAATCTTTTCTGTCTTTAGCTGCTGAACATCAGCTTCAGAATTGTTCTTCATTTTGAGGTAGAAAATGTACACCAAAAGCATCAAAGTATAAGTTCTTAAACTGGCATAATAACATTGTTTTTAAAAAGCTCCACTAAACTCTTCCTTGAAGCTTAAGAAAAATCAGAACAAAAAGTACTGACATCACCTGTCTCAACATGGCCTTCCCACTTGCCTTAGTGTCCCAACTACAATGTCCCTTGGCATACAAAAAAATATTAAATCTGGCCTTCAGTCACCAAAAGGTTGTCTAATCCTGGGTTATAGTAAATTAAACAACAACAGATAACCAGAAATACAAAATGAAAGCCAGAAAATCAAATAGTCAGGTGTGAGTCAATAAAGGTATGCCATATTTTGAAAATGATGAACTGCTGGCTTCATTCACTGCTTTAAAATGTTAAACACACAGCTTATTTCTAAATGTTATCCTTGACATGTTAAGATAGAAGGTAATAATATAAACCCATTACGGAAACCATGTTCGGAATGATCAAAGCAAGTGCGCACTTACCTTTCGAATGCCAGTCACAGCATAGGCATGACCAGACACCAAGCCATTCTCTAACACCCTTGTTGGCTGCAGGAAAAACAAAATCAATCTATTTAACCATGCAATGAACTATTTTCTTCAAGCCTAGTGGAACCAATACAGTCTGCTTTTAAGAGAAAAAAAACTGGCAGTTGGTTCATTGTGAATTCTTGTAAGCAGTTTGAGCTAAACTCCTCTCTAAACTTTCTGCAAGCTATTGTGAAGTTATGGGGATGATTCAGCTGCTGGATTAAAAAAATGTTCAGTTTAGAAAAATAAAAACATTGCTGAGGTGCAGCATAAATTGAGCTTTAAAAGAACAGTGCAGAAAAAGGACAAATAGCCACAATATCTTTTCTCTTCATGTGTGAAATCATCAAAATCTGATTAGTAGGAAATTAAAAATATTTAAATAAATTACGTATTTGCATAGAATGCAATACAATTTATATAACTCCTTCCAAAATGTTTCTCAGATAGATGGGGCAATACAAGAGATACTCTTAAATGACAAATAATTTATGTCTTTCATTAATGCAAGTGTTTTAGGTTTTTTTTTAAAAAAAACACCAAAGTTGTTATACAGTGATTCATATTAACCTTATTCTTTTTATATATACTGTTTTTTAAGGGGCATTTGCACTCTTAAAAGAAGGCACCAAAATTTTTGTTTTTCATTTCCTTTATTAGAATAATCTCTTTTATCACATAATGCTCTTTGTTGGGCAGCTAATAGGAGAAATGTCTCACTTACTTCAATAAATGACATACAAGGAACTGTGGGACAAAAATTGTTAATAATAATGTGAGAGAAAGGAAAGAAAGTTCTTACCCCTGCATGAGTCTGGCACCCCATGAGCGAGCTGCTGTAGGTTGCTCTTGTCAAGATGTCCCAGAGATCAGGTGGTGCATCAGTCAACTTTATTGTCCTATTAACTCCCCCTGTGAAATCTACCAGAGCTTCTGACACTTGCCCAATCTGTAGATCTTCATAAGAACCACATATCCTGCCAAGAGAGTTTTGCCAGGTATTTTTTTAAATGGATGTTAGATTATTATAACTATAGATTTTAAATAGACTGAATAAGATCCACGACAGAATGCTAGGGAAATCACATACTTGGCATAAGCTTTTTCCAAAAGAGCTCCCCAGAATAGGTTCTTATAAACAGAAGAGAGAAAAACAAGCTGACCGGCTTCATTTACTGGTAGTCGATCATCTACTACAACATCAACCCATTCTCCAAAATGCCAGACCTGTAAAAGGAAAGGAACACACAATGATCATGTTCCTATTTCAAAGACAGAGGAAGACCATTATCTAATCCTGCTCATTGATGATCAAACAATAACTGTAGGAAAGTATAAGTGAACTTTTTGCAACAGTAATATGATAATAATCAGAAGAATAAGAAGCTGGATCTCCAGGGTCTGAAGTGACAAGAAGAAGAATGCATTTCATAGAATTAAAAGCACTTCAGATGAAAAGGCGTTTCTTGCTTGGAAAAGTGAAGTATCCAGGCTTCTTAATCTTTTTGATTTTTTTCACAGGATTATGTGGCCATTTTCCTCCTCGCAATAATAATCCTAATCACAATAATCTCACATGCATCATTGTGCAAATGACACACGTATAATGTAATCTGCCTCTACTATTTCGCATGACTAATATAAAGCACAGGTACATAAATCATGTCATTCACGCAATGACATCATGACACATATTTTTCCTCTATTTTATTATTCCCTTGTGCAAAGGCCCATATCAATGGCACTATGTTGGGGAAGGCTAATTCATATATATATTGACAGAATTGTCTGAATTATTCATTACATTTACAGAAATCTAACATTTTCATCATTAAAATGTTTCATCAGATAGCTGCACTGGGGATTATGCTCACCTTGAAATGAAATATTCCAGCATATTTCTTCCTCTCAAAGCTCTGGTTTTGTGGTACCACATTGAACAAAATGTCTTCATGAAATGTTAAAGCTTCCACCGCAGCCAAAAACCAGCAGTTCTCTGTGCCAAAATCATAAAAGAAAACAGAAGGTGAACTACAAACTGTTTGTTCGCCCTTATTTCAGGCACTAAATAGAAGGCAATACATATTCAGGTTTCTATTACTTTTCTAATTAACCAGGAACTGACTAATAGAGACCAGATGTAAGTTTGTGCCTTATTATGTAGAATGCATTTCATCTTCAGTAGTAAATTTGCAACTAAAACTTAGGGTAGAAAGCAGACCTTTTATATTTGCAGTGCAGTTTTATTTGTTTATTCAGTGTATATATCTGTCCATTTCACATTTGTGACTCTGGGCTGCTCACATAATTAAGTTACAAAGATTTTCTTTAGAAATGGCATTTTTGTTCCATTCGCATATCTTTATGGTTGTGTAGTTGATTTCATATTTTGATTTTTGTGCATTATTATTGCTGAAGAAATCTCAAATGGGTAGCAAAATGTCCTTTACTTAAATTGGAGCTGTTGGTTTTAATATGCCTTATTTCAACTCAGAAGCTTCCATGAAAGTGTATTCTTCTTCACTGGCTAACTTTCCTGAAAATTTCATCTAAAAACATCTAGCCATTTAAGCTTATACTGCATATATGCTAAATAAGTAGAGGCAGAATTCTGATAATCCTACATAGATCAATTTGGAGCAACCTATCTTCTGCCAGAGATTCCAGATTAGCATGGGCTTTTTCCAGAGCTATAGCTCTTGAAATGGATCTGGTAGACTAAGTCAATCTTGACATATTCTAAATATTCATACAAATGATATTTTCTGTTGCAATATTTCTTACCTATCAGTCCTTGACATAGAGCAAGCCTTTTTTTGTTAGTAGAATAAAAGATGGGATTCTTGTGCAGCTCCTGTAATATATAGGCATATATATAATCCACTTTAAACCCACACAAGCCTATGTCCATACAATGCCTTATTGTATAAATACATTTATAATATTTTAAGCATCTTTGTTTTGCTATTATATGAAACATGTTGGAACTCAAGAAAGAAGTGTAGCATAGGAAATTTGTAATCTACCATATAACGAAGGATCAGCCTAAAAACAAATAAGTGCTTCCTGCCAGCAATATAATATGTGATTTGAGGCCAGTCCCAAGAAATCAGAATAGTCCTGACCAAGTGGCTGTTTTCATTTCTGAGTTGAATAAGTCAAAACCTTAAATACAATGGAATTTGGTAGTGATGAATATTTAAATAAGACCTAGAATATCAAAACAAGACCTAGAAATTGTGATGAGACAAACTTTTCTTAGGAATCAATGTTAACAGAATGTATTTGTCATGTAATCATAAATTTGCAGCCTGTTCATTCTTTCAAGGATAAAGTGGATATATTTTAACATAATACATCTTTTGTTGATACAGTGTTTATCCCCCGAGCTTTCATAATCAGATAATTGCATTCTTAGTTTCCCTGGAAATATTGAAACTAGTATTATTCTTGTGAGGAAAAAATGATGATCCACTCAAAACCGCTTTTATACACCCAAGAATAATATACCTATCAACAAGGAAATATCAAGCCAAAATCCAAAGTCAAATAAAACCAAAAATACCAGGCAATTTCAGGAAGCTTGGCATTCAGACAAGTCAGCCATCAATAGATACATATTGTAGATATAAGCCACCCTTACACATCATTCAAAAGACATAATGAAAAAGCTAAGTAGGAAAGAAAAAAAGCAAAAAATGTCCCCACCAACCGCCTACAACTAGATAAAGAGGGATTAACACAAGAAAAACAAAAAAATGTCTTAATCAAACTACCAAGTAGAGAACCATTCTCCCACCCACACTGGCAAGGCAAGCTACTGCATATAAACAGGGAGCAAACCCCTCATCCCAAGGGTCTTCAAACTTGGCAAATTTAAGACTTGTGGACTTCAACTCCCAGAATTCCTGAGTTCACATGACTGGAGGAGGAATTCTGGGAGTTGAAGTCCACAAGTCTTAAAGATGTCAAGTTTGAAGACCTCTGCCTCATTCACTTCCACCGATGATTATAGTCGCTTAGTCAAATCTGCAACCAAACAATCAAACTGAGGGAGCACCAAGGACTCCACAGTTCAACCCTGAGCTACAAATATTCTCTTCTATTGAAATATTATCAAAGATAATATTATTAAACACCACTAGATTGCAACTTCATGATATTGGGGTCGGGGGGAACAATAATGAAGGGAATGGAAGCAAGGGCAACCTAGCCTAAGCAGTAATAAAAAAAATGGCCACTGAAGAATGTAAGGAACATGAACTTCTAGAGATGAGAATGGTTCGTTGAGTTAACAGCCCATTGGTGAATCAACTGCAAGTTGTTGTTTTTTACAAAAAATGGGGGAAAGGGCATTGCTACTATAATCAGCAGAGCAATCAGCCACTGGAGAGGAGAGGTTCAGTTAGAGCAGTCAGTTAGAGATGGCTTAAGAACAGAAGACAGTGCCAGAGATATCCTTTCTGAAGGACTTAAGAAGGCTTACATTAAAAAAATAGCATTTTTGAATTGATGCTGGAAAACACAAGAGCAGGATATATTTGCAATGGGCTGGGAATAGCAGGCACAATATAACTTCCATTCCTGCATTCAGAAACCTGGTACAGAGTCTCTGGTACAGGCAAGGGGTTGGGTAGAAAGTACAGATCTACCCTGACTGTGCTTCTCTGAAGTCTGCCGTTAATAACTTCCTCATTATCTGATCTTCTTTTTAAAACCAGATCATCTGACCTTGAACTTGGGATCTGTGAATTGCAAAGTATGTGTTATACCTCCACAGTTATGACCAAAATTGATCAGAATAAGTATGATGTGCCAGACTTTAAGCAGGTCATGACATAACTAACACAATTGTACAACTTTTTTTTGTGGTGGTAATTAAGCAAACACCATGGTTGTTAAACAAACCCATTGTTCACAATGGATGGTTTTTATTAGAAACTGAAAGTAAACACTGGTTTCTGGCAAAAAAAAGTTAATTACAGTCACAAAACATGAGATGCTGCATACAGCCACAAACACAGGTTGGTTGCTGAGCACCCAAAATGCGATCGTGTGACCATGGGTGGGTGTTGGATTCAGGTCATAACTGTCTTTTGGGAAGTCATTAAGCAAAGACTATCTTTGCAAAAGAGGCCCTGCATACCATCTAAGATTTCAGAAAACCATTTTCTTTTCTTTCTTTTAATAAAATGTCCCTGTAATACAAATTGCATCACTTACATGTGGTCTCTTCCACTGTATCTTTTGGGGCAGTTTCTGGAGCAATGGTCCTGTGCCTATGGATCTCACATCTGCTGGGAAGGTCAGGTCTTCAAACAAACACCCTTTCTTCAAGCACTCTGCCAGCAAACTGTGATAGTTCTGTTGACTAAGCTTATTGGGCTCAGCGAAGCTTTTTGTCTTCGAGGGCCACCATTGTTGTCGCTTCCTCTTCTGTTGGCGTATGCAAAGCAGCTGCCGAAAAGGCATAACTGTATTAAACAGTGTCGATCTCAATCTGTGTAGTGGTTATAACTCTCTTTTTCCAAAGCTAGATGTTCTTCAATCCAAATTAGTCCTGTTTGGAAAGATACCATAAAAGGTCAACAAGTAAATAAGTAAATAAGCAAGCAAGTTCACTCACTCTTACTCTATGCCTCTTTATAGGCAATTAAAACATTGTGAGATACATCATATTAAGGAATAAATGGGTTAATTTTTCAACATCACATTTTAAAAAGCAAACAAAGAATCATCTACAACCTAAGTTTCTGGGAGGGAAAGTGCAATTCAAAAGAGAAAAGAGATAGCATACACATTAAAAACAAATAAAGAATGTTGGTCTGTGCTGTAGAAAGTCTTTTTAATCAGGATTTCTAAAGAACACCTGACTGGTGTAGATGATGTCATATTTTGAAAAATGGTGCATATTATTATTAACTCTTCTTTGAAAATACACCAGAATTATACTTAAGTCAGTAAAATGATCTATACTAGCATATGTCCATGTAGGTCATGTGGATTTTGGAAACAGCTTTTACTGAATCAAAGGAAGGAAACAAGTTAAGCATATAATAAGCCACAGAAATTACAGGTCTATTAAACAAAAAATATATTTATTTTTCTTGAGCATTTCTATTTAAAACAGAAAAGGAAATATAGTTTTAGCAGCTTTGTACTTTGCAGCCAGAGTTTTGATGTTCAGCTCTGATTTCTGACTATACTAATCCTAACTCTTTTAAAACCAAACATTCCCCACCTCTAAAAAGTGTATTATGTACCTTCATATGGTCAATCAAAAATTCCACTTTATCCTCTTTATTAGATATCCTAATTATTATTTTGAAAATCCCCAGTGAGCTCCTCCTTCCAAGACTAAACATTAAACTTCTATACATGAAGATTTCATTTGGAGTGTTTATAATAGGGGGAAAATGTGGTTCTGAATTTGATAGTCATATCCTCGCTAAATGTTCTTAGAGCACTTAGAAAATTGCTAGATAAAATGGCCAGTCTCTGTGCTTAAGTATAGATATAATTGAGAGACGCTTTGTGCAGTGGTTAAGGCACAAGGCTAGAAACCAGAAGGTGGCGAGTTCTCCTCCTGCCTTAGGGATGAAACCAGTTGGGTGACTTTCGGCCAGTCATTCTCTCTCTGCTTCAGGAAGAAGGTTTCTGAAAGTCTTGCCAAGAAAGCTGCAGGGACAAGTCAATGTCCATAACAGGCAATGTTTTAAGATTAATTTAAAAGCAACAAAATATATATCAATAGTTCATTCAATATGCTATTATGCATCCTCCCTAAGCCTGTCAAAATAGGGGGGAAATGTTGGTTTGGGACCAAGGAAGGTCAAGTAAAATTTCCATTCATCCAGTAATTCACTAGATTTTCATATCAACGATTTGCATGATTGTCCATACTTTTTGCAAAGAACAAGGGGGAGTGAGATTGCATGCCAGGATTTCCCTGCTTGACTGCACATTTGCTCATCCTATTCTTGACTGACTGCATGCATGGCATGATGTGCAGAGGTCACATGCATGGAGAATCAGTTCATCTTCACAGATAAACTGTTCTTAGACACAGTTCAGACATGTGTTTGCTTGCTTATACAGCTGCTCATTTCATATAATGAGAGGTCCTTGGTGCTCTCTGAAGTTGGTTGTCTTGTTGCAGACATTTCATTACCCATTACTGCACTGATTTGGGCAATGAAACATCTGCAAGAAAATAACCAAGCTCAGACAGCACCAAGGACCATTCATTTCAACCCTGAGCTTCAAATATTCTCCTTTATATGTTATAATCCTTGGCAAGTCACAAAACATGGATTAAAAACATCATGCAAAATAAATAAAAAAAATTACAAAATCTCCCAGTTCCCTCAAAGCAAGCATTTCACCACCACCATACATCCCACTCAGTTGACTGGGCTCCAGCCTCACCCCTTCCAATGCTTGGGGAGGGTGAGGCTAGAGGGTGAAGAGCCAGCTCTTCAAGGCATTACAGACCATGAAAAGGGAAAGTGCCTGCCAGATTGCAAGAGGAAAGGTGTTCCACAGAGCAAGGACTTCTACAGAGAAGGTGTGCTCCCTGATCACACAAGATGACATCATTTAAGGGAAGAGATCTGAAGCATGACTACCGTATCTGACCTTGTGGCATGGGCAAATATCCAAAGGCAGAGGCCATCCCTCATATAATCTGGCCACTCAGGACTTTAAAAGTAACAACCAGCATTTGAATTGCACCTGGAAAGAAAGTGGAAGCTATTACAGTTTGTGCAGCAACAGTATAATAGGAGCAGATCATGGAGTGCCCAGAACTATGTGTACTGCTGCATTCTGGACTAGTAGTAATATTTAGATGGACTTCTAGTGCAACCCATATATACTCCAGGAAGCCAGGAAGTGACCAGGACATGAGTGACAATGGAAGCCAGGAAGTGACCAGGAAATGACCAGGAAGCCAGGAAGTGACTAGGACATGAGTGACAATGAGCAAATACTCCTGTTCCCAGAAAGGGTGTAACCAGCATGCAAGATGAATCTTTCCAAAGTCCCACAATTGAGCTATTTGGCCAAAGATTCAAACAGGTCATAACACTGATAGTAATACATATTAGTCAAAAGTCACTGGTGTATCCAATATTCTATGTTGCTGGTAGTGTAGGATGATGCAATTCCCTTTTTCGTTAGGTATAGCTACAAACATGTGTAGTAAGAATTGTATGGACTTATTTGTCATCTTTCATCTTAAAATGTTCTAGCAGCATCGGAAGCAAACAAAAACGTATAATTCCAAATAATAGAATAAAAAAATTGGAAGGGACCTTAGAGGTCTTCCAGTCCAAACTCTATACCATTTCAGAGAAATGGTTGTCCAATCTCTTCTTAAAAACCTTCAATATTGGAGAACCCACAACTTCTGAAGGCAAGCCATTAATGTCAGAGTATATTAATGAACTGGAATAGAGCATGGTAACAAGGTCAGCCATTGAACTGGAATAGAGCATGGTAACAAGGTCAGCCATTGAATAGGTATAGCAACTAAGTCAGCCAATGAGGACTGTTTAGAAACTGAAACGAGAAGTAGCCTGGGCGTGAAAATATATTAAGCTCTAAAGCTATGTTAAGCTCTGAGTCTGTCTATTGGAAATGAAACCGCTTCTCTCCTCTGCTGTGTGACTTGCTTGTTTGCTGAAAACTAGAGCTCAGCTCTGAACCTGTAACATGTCTGCTTCTATTTGAGTTTGCTCCATGTTGGAGAAATCTACAACTGGTATTATAAAAATTATTTGTGTTTATAAAGAAGTTAAATGAAGCCTCAGTCATCTGTGTTTACTTTTCTGGCACTGAATTTACGCTGCAATACTCTGAACAATTAATTGTTAAACTGTTAAGCACTGATTAATTGTTCTAACTATAAGAACATTTCTTCTTAATTCTATCTTGCTTCTCTCCTTAATTAGTTTTCATCCATTGCTTGTTGTCCTGCACTCAAGTTTCAAAGTTTTGCTCTGTTCTCACTGAGCAAGATTATCAGCCTGTAAGTATTTATTCCATTACACCTGCTTTTCTTTTTCTTTTCTTCTCCTTCCTCCATGCTTATAGAAGTGCCAGAAGGGCAGATCACTTTCTTGTCAGAAGTCTGCTTCCAGGGGATTTCTGAAGGCCTCATAAAATTGGAATCACTTTGTTATCTGCTCCAGGTAACAGATAACAGACAACAGATAATCAGAGTTGGAAGGGACCTTGTAGGTCATCTAGTTCAACCCCCCACCCAAGCGGGAGACCCTACACCATTTCTGACAAATGGCAGTCCAATATCTTCTTGAAAGTCTCAAGTGATGGTGCTCCCACAACTTCCAAGGGCAAGCTGTTCCATTGGTTGATTGTTCTCACTGTCAGAAAGTTTCTCCTTATTTCCAGGTTGAATCTCTCCTTGGTCAGTTTCCACCCATTATTCCTTGTCTGGCCTTCAGGCACTTTAGAAAATAGCTTAACCCCTTCTTCTCTGTGGCAGCCCCTCAAATATTGGAAGACCTCTATCATGTGTCCCCTGGTCCTTCTCTTTACTAGACTGGCCAAGCCCAGTTCTTGCAACCGTTCGTTGTGTGTTTTAGCCTCCAGTCCCCTAATCATCCTGGTTGCTCTTCTCTGTACTTTTTCTAGAGTTTCAACATCTTTTTTATAATGCGGTGAACAAAACTTGGATGCAGTACTCTAGGGGTGGTCTTACTAAGGCTTTATAGAGTGGTATTAGTATTAGTATATGTATTCACATAGATGTCAGATACATTCTGTAGGATAGATTTGTGTTAAGATTTCAATATGTTTAACGAATAAAACCAAAGGGATTTTTAAAAAAGAAATTGTGTCCCTTTTTTATAAAAAAAGAATAACTTTGAATTACATTATGAGAGAGCTAGATGGATGAATGATCTGAGAATATTTGCATTTGCAGAATATAGCCACTAATCAAAATAAACTGCTGTTTCATAATTTCTTTTTAAATATTATTGCAAAAATCAGCATTTATTTCAATATATGTAATAGAAATCTTAACTCAACGCCACAGTTAAGCTTCTTAGTAGGCAGATACAGATTAACAAGATTTATGGTGCTCCAACACTGAAAAAGAGTTAGAATTTCTTAAACTATAAAAATGCCACACAAGATATGTATTCTTGACAATTTGGAATGTAACTTTGCATTGAAAATATAAATATACGATGTTGTAAGAAACTATGCCAATTATTCAGAAAACTGTAAAAAGAATGGATTTTATAGTACTTGTCAAGAAACTAAATTTATTGAAATATATATTGGCAGATTCCCAGACCATGATCAAAAGTCAAACAATGGATTAACCCTATATTGTCAAAGCAATTGCCCTATGTTAAATCACAGTTAAAGTTCAAATATGGCTGCTAAGTGATTATATTACTATTTTTGTGGTCTGTCTGTCTGTCTATCATACATCTATTTGTCATTGAACAGAATAACACAGTTGGAATGGACCTTGGAGGCCTTCTAGTTGCTCAGGCAGAAACCCTATACCATTTCAAACAAATGGTTGTCCAATCTCTTCTTAAAAAGAGCACCTAGAACTTCTGGAGGCCAGTCGTTCCACTGATTAATTGTTCTAACTGTCAAGAAATTTCTCCTTAGTTCTAGGTTGCTTCTCTCATTGATTAGTTTTTTCAATGCTTCTTGTCTTACTTTCAGGTGCTTTGGAGAATAGGTTGACACCCTCGCTCCACAAATATTGGAACACTGCTATAATATAACCCCTAATCCTTCTTTTCATTAATCTAGCCATATCCAATTCTAGTAACCAGTCTTTATGTTTTAGCCTCCAGTCCCCTAATCATCTTTGTTGCTCTTTTCTGTACTCTTTCTAGAGTCTCGACATCTTTTTTACATCATGGTATCTAAAACTGGACACAGTGTTCCAAGTACGGTCTTACCAAGGAATTAATAGAGTGGTATTAACACTTTACGTGATTCCATCCCGCTGTTAATGCAGCCTAGGACTCTCTTTACTTAAATATTTATTTGTCTCCATATTCCAATGATACTAGATGCTCACAATAAAAACATATAGTAAAGAAAAGCTTATATGCCTAAAAACTATCAATACTGTTCTATAAAAACAAATAAAATTTAAATCAGATAAAAATAAACCAATCCCCCACCAACAAGGTGATGAATGCATGGGTCATTGTCATTAAGTCCTCCTGTTTTAGAAAGAGCCAGAACTGTGGCAAAGGTTTCCCTGACCATAGACTCCACCTATTATCGAAGCAGTAACCATTAGTCCAGGAAAATTCCC